TGGGAAGATGGTGTCCCTCCGAAAGAGGCCTGTGCTCCCCACCCCCAGCTCAGAATTCAGGAAAGGCAAAAATGAGCTATTTATTGTTAAAAAAACCAATTGAATGCCCTCTCCAGAAAATAAACACCCCCTTCCAACTTAACCCAAGTTACCTCACTGCCCCCTTTACCAATCCCTGCACCAATGCCGAAGACGTCTGTTACCCATACATGCTTCTCTACTTGCATTCGTTATGGGACACGCCCCTTTCCAACACTCCATCTGAAGGCGACACTCAAATTTGAGGTTTTGAAGATGAAAAGTGTGTTCACCTATACACCTGCATCACTCATCACCACACCTCCCGCCCAATCATACATGCACGATCAACCAAATTTAAACTTTATCACATTGCCCTTGGCCGGAAAGTCAATTTCCAATGCAATATTGAAATCAGGCCTGAACACCCAACCATTCACGCATTTGAGTAAGGCATCCAATATCCGAAGAACTCAAAATCTGTAGTTAATGTAGAAATGATGTGATGTCGCTGGGCTTTTTAATCCCCAATAGGCCAATTCGACATTTTCCTCGCGCATTCACGATGAATGCAATTTTTTTTTTTTTTATAACAAAACACGTCACGCGGTCCTTGTCCAATAGAAACCGAGCCTACAGCACCACGTGGGTATATTAATCCAAAATTCTATCCGTCAATTCATTGCTCAATACGAGATGTCGAATTGGCTTATTGTGATACACTTGATATTGACAGAGAACCTCATCATGCAAAGCCAGCAATGTTATTCCCCCGTGCAAATAAGTGAATCGCATCCCCATCAGTTCATACCTCCACATCCAATTTTGACAACCTCTTGTTTATAGAGCAACCCTGCTCAGCGAATAAAAACGATCTCCGGGCGACAGAATATTAGTCCGGCTTGGTATGATCAATTTAATCGGCCACCGACCCGAGAGGGAAACTAATCTACGACACGGCGGTGATCGAACGTGGGAATCTTAAACGATGCGAGGCTGTGTATACTTCCCACCTTTAAAAAAATAAGGTGTTCTCTGCAGGCTAGTGATGCCGTCGTCTGGGATCGTTAAGAAAATAGATCAGCCGGGTTATTTGTTGTCATGGTGACAACTGGCTTACCGTCAATGCGATTTGGTCAAAACTACCGCCCAAGGTATTTGTTGGTTAATAATTTAAACACCGACCACCAAATCTTAATTCCAATAAGGGTAAAAAAACCTCGCTTAACACCATGGTGATGGAATGGACATTTATATATCATACAGTCACCGTATTGAATGAACGGTTCACAGTCGAACATTGTGTATTACGCAACGCCTGAATAAATGCCCGTCATCTGATTGGTGGGTCGTTGATCACGTGTCAGTGAATTATTCTTCAGAACGTAAGGCGCGGCCGCACCGCCAAATTAGAAGTTCCATTTCCACGGTAAATGGAAGTTCCATTGCACGGTCACACTTTTGGCGGCTCTGACCAATCAGATGACGAGGATTTATTCAGGTGTTGAACAAAACAAATAATGAATGTTTTGCATTTCTGCAATAAAGATAATTTCATTCGGTGATAGATGGAATTCAATTTTCGCTTCGTGGAATGGGGGTATAGGTCTATGGCAGTTCCTATGCTGGGCTGCAACCCTAAACAAAAGTTGACGGCAAAATTACATTTAATGCACAGTGCTGTATTACCACAAAGTAACAAATCTTATTTTGAAACGAATAAGTCCCGACATGATAGTGAAATTTACTAGGTTTAACACTATGCTATTTAACCCTAAAAGGGCCGGGGTGGAATCCGCCCCCCCCCCCCGCCCTTCAGCTTTTTCCGCGATAGCCTTGAATTTGTTTTTCGCGACCCGCGCTGTTATGACTTTTTAGCCTCGAGCCTTGCGAATCTTTTGATATCAAAAACATAAAAAAAAATGTTCCGGCGCTACGTGCCGTGAAAACTGAACTCCCCATATTGGCCGTATACGTCGTTTACACAGAGCACAACTACCATTCGTACATATGAATAATTACTTAGCCATAATTCCAAAACCCTTTGACCTATAGTCATGGCATTTCTTGCGAAATCCCCCCCCCCCCCCCGGCTGAGAGATGGTCAAAGTAACCCGGCCCTTTTCGGGTTAAATTGAAACAACTATAGGCCTAGTATTTCGCATCATGGCGATAGATATGCCAATTAATGGTGCTCTATAGTTACGTCACCACTACTACAAATTGTAGAACTACCAATTTCCAAACACAGTATACGCACACTACTTCAAAGAGGATCCATTTTGTGTCCAGACAAAAAAAGGGTTCCGGGTGTTGCCTCTTACAAGCACTGCATCAAGCCCCATGCAGAAACGAAATTCCTATCTGCTCTACCAAAAAGATTGAGGTCGCTATTTACTTGAAGCAGGTTTGTATATGTGCCTCACTCCGTTTACTTGTTCTGCAATTGTTTACTTTCCTTCGATTTTCACCAATATGGAAATAAACGTCAAATTGAATTGAATTGAAAAATCATTTCATAAAAGTATGGATTGTTATTGACTAGTATTAGTAACTGTGAACATTTCACGTAATTTGCTTACACGCTATGTCTACATTAATGCTATCATCACAAAATTCAGCTGCCAATCAAAGATCATTTACCGTGCAAATACAATGAAACAAGGGCGTATTCTTGCCTCCACGATTGAACGAAAATTTACACAGAAAAGCAGACAAATTATTTCATTTCAGAAAACAAATCCTCATATTCAAAAACACAAAATCTGACGGCAAAAATAATGTTTCAGTCTTCACAAAAAGGATAAAAATCTCATTTGTATCTGCATGCCTGTGTGTCATCTCTGGTTCTCACTCGGCTCAAAAGCTTCAAATGGCATTCCAAAGACAGCTGTAAAAATTGACTATTTTAGTAAAATATGCATAACTTCTTATTGCATGGATCAATTTGAGGCTTTTGAGCAACTCCTTTTTTTTAACAAATGAGTGGAAAACATGCTCATTTAATGCGTGCTTCGTTGGTGTATCAAATTTATTTTTTTTTTTTTAAGGGGAAAATCATTAACCCTAACAGAACTCAACCTATCAAACCCCAACAGCAGGTGTTGTTGGAATCTGTCGGGATGGGTACAGTACCCCTAAACTGGCAGTCTTTTACATTGGGTTGGCACACCTCCAGAAACTAAGTCAGATATATGTGTGCACAGTTTCCCATATGGTGTTGGAATTTGCCAGGATGGGTATGGTTCCCAGTAAATCATGCTAGGGAGTTAGGGTTAATCCGGGCGACGTTCTTTTTTGACTCACCCTGTATAGACACATTCGGACAGCGATCACTGTACACTCACAAGGCCCCCTTCATAATGGCGAAATAATCGTGTAAGCTATTGTACAAAACAACTGCCCATGACGAATACAATGCTTTCGCCAGTAAAAGGGGCCTTCGTGACAGAATTGATTTATGGTCCGATTAATTCTGGTCGATCAAGCGTGTGATTCCAGTGTACGACAGACGACTCTTGTGGCCTATTATTTTGAGACCATCCAAGGACCGAGACATTTCGTGTTGACGTTAGACCATCAATCCACTCGAGACGTTTGCACTTTTAATAGTTTACGCCTAGGCGGCGCGCACGCGTTACATACGTCGCAAACCAAACAATGATCAATTACTAATGGTCGGTCCTTGATCGAACATGCTCAACATGACAAAAGTAAACAATGTCTACTCCTTAGCGGGTTTTTTCCCGAACTACAAAGCAAACTTGTAGGTATGTTGTAGTTAATTCGTGTAGATACGTAATTAACACACGCATTCTCAACATTAACGCCGGCTCCCCCTAATGCACGGCAATCGATCTGGGCATGAAAGCCACCGAGTGTTAGGCCAAAAAAAAAAAAATAAGTCGGTCTCTGGTCAGCGCGCGCGTCGATTTTAATCATGCGCGTCGATCTTTTTTTTTCCAAAATGTTCCGCGGTAGCTCCAACAGCGCCCTCTATCTCCGCACCTCCTCAATTTTTTTTACCAAAGAGCACCAAGGAATGAGAAATTGCACCAAGGCAAATGATCGAAAGCACCAAGGCAAAATATGGAGGACACCAATGTACATGAGGACACCAAAAAAGCAAATAGTACCCCACCTTGTCTGTACAATCCAAGCTTGAAGAAAAAAAAAAAGCCGCGTGGCCGCGTCAATTCCGGAACTTTGGTCTGACCAGAGACCGAATATTATTTTTTTTGGCCTTAGCGTAGCATAACATAAACTCTCTATTAAAAACAGAGAGCCTGAACACGGGATTAGAAGAAAAACATTTCGAGAACGCAAGGACGAGGAAAGAGGAAAGCACTGTCTGGAGATGTTCCGAGGAGCTGGCTCAAGCCTCGTTGGCGAAACGAGTGTTTGTTTTAAATCTCCAACCGGAAAAGGTCGATGACCAAAAACGATGGTTCAATGGACGCCTTGCGCAGTACGGTCGTCTCCCGTTCAAGTGAGCAAAGCGTCCGCTTGGCGATAATTCCACGACTATCGATAGTACGTGTTGTGCATGATTCTGCTCATATTAGAATCGGCACCGCGGGGCTATAGGATTAGGCACGCTTTTTATTTCATCATGACAAATTGTTGACCTATCTGTATGCATAGGGCAGAAGTAATCTTCAGAGAAGCTGTACGTGCCTTTTGAGAGAAGACCTGAGACCGGCTGAGTTTTGAAGCACCTTCCATACTTCATACAACTTTGCGTCTGTTCTCCGACATGTATGATATAAGACGGTATCAAATTTTACAGAAAACAGAAGATTGTCGTCTGTTTTGATGTAATCCATGACGTGTTTTACGCCCGAAGGGTGCACATGGACAAGAGGCGAAGTTGTGCCGAGGGTATTGCCCCCAATGGTGTACCAAACGTCTGCATCTTTGAAAAGAAATTACATTGTATACGATAATCAAGTCATTATTCGGAAGCTTCCACAACAACACGCTATGATTTACTTCCATACTCTTTATTACAATTCCGTCTACAATAGTAACTTTGTGCTTAAAAACTAAGTATCATTAATGTACATGTACACGTGTTGTGTCGAGTTGTTGCATTCTTCAAGTAATTCATTCACGATCTTTATTCTATGATACTGTAACTTCCTGTTCCCGAACTTCAACTGCATGCATGGTGCGCGTGATTATGACTAGAGTGTGAATAATACAGGGTGAAATGCACGCACTTCATTGGGCACGGAGGTAGGGAATGGTCGACTACAAATCACTTTACACAAAAACCTAAACACTGAACACACTAACTTTCACAACCCTAATATCATTTTTGTCCGGGACCTTCATGAATACCGCTCATCCGTACGTTACTCGTACTGTGGCGGGTCTGCCTTCCTCATTCTTGCAAAATCCGCCAAAAACTATAAAAACTCTCTGAGGAGTTTGAAGGAAGGATGTAACGGGTGGAGGGGGGGGGGGGGGGTTCGAGGCAACATGGTGTATGTGTACGATATTTTCATTCACTACCAAGACCACCTAAAACACGAATGAAAACAATACATCCGATCGCGAGCGGTAACGTTCACCAATGATTTGGAGCTGCAGGTGATGTTTAGGAATTGAGTACAAGCACAACGTCTCATCACTCGAGGCCCAACAGAATCTGACAAGTGGAACCAGAACTTAACATAAGTACTATTTTCGAAGAGTTCCAGCGGGACAGCACCAGGGTTCAGAATCGTAATTCATTTCTAGAGTTCCAAATCAAATAATACTTCCGTCTAAACAATTTTATATGTATAAATATATATATATTATTCTAAGAATCTCTTTTACGCACTCTGTTAAATAACGAAAGAATTTGTTTTTTTTATGAGAACTGTATTACTATTTACACGTGTCATGAAAACAGTTGTTAAAAAAACCCACAACTTTTAAAAACTAGGGCAGTGCCTTTTTGTCTAATGCTTTCGCAGAACGCCCTTTGCTTCAGCTTAGTGTTTCAAAGAATCAGCACAATATCCACACTGTTTGAGCACTTAATGTGTTTGCACTTTGTTCACAATTTGTCAAACCTCACATCACACAATCATCACGTAATTCAGTAAACACTGCGTTAATGTGATGTTTACTCTACGGGTACACCATCCTCGGACAATTTTCACGCTGCAATTACACCGTGTCAACACAATATCGACACTACGTTTACACGAGGGACCAATACATGCAATTGAGATACGCAACCAGTTTATACCAGTACACTAACTGCATAGAGTTGTATTTTCTTAGAGACAGCTAGTCTGGTTCCCTGACCTGAAAATCTCCCGGCGCCCCCACGTCTAAACTGTAGGTCAGGCAGCCGCCACGGGGCTAAAAATAAACACGACTGTCTTTTTTTCACAGCTCGGCCTCATTTCTGTTTGAAAACACACACATAACGGTGGTTTGATGACTTGATAAACTGATCCCCTCCCAAGAAACTTAACTCATAGTTTGCAACTATTGTTAAAATACTGGCAATAACATTACTGCACCAAAACTAACCCAGACCTTCAGAAGGTCGGGTGAACCTATCAGGGAGCATGATAATCTAATTTATCTTGGCGGGGGTGGAGGTGGATAGGGGTGACGTTCTGACAACATCTGTCGCTGTATGTGCTCATGTTGTATCTGCTGGGCCAGTACGTCAGGTAATGGGGGCCTGTATAATCTGGCATGGGGTAAGGAGGGAGGGGGACCCCCTATAGCAGCAGCTGCAGCAGCCTGGTTGATCATCGGGTGCGGGGGCTGGGGTACGGAGAGAGGATTGGGAGGGAGGTGTAAGGTTGGTTGAAGGACCGCCGGGGCAGGCTGGTCTGGGAGGACCCCACCTTGAGAGAGGTAGGTATGGTGGATGTGCTCTTGGGGATGGAAGTGCACATGGGTGTGTGAGTGTGAGTGCGAGTGATGATGAGGGGTCGGGGGTCGCCCAGCTGCAGCAGCAGCAGCAGCAGCAGCAGCCCTTGGATCACCCATCAGGGCCATGCGCTCAAGATGGATGCGCTCCGATGTCAGACGGTCCACGGAAAAGGCAGAGTTCTCCGGGCCGTGCATTCGTAGGTGGTGCTCCGCATGCGCTCGCTCTAGATTGTGTGCATAGACAGCAGCGTTCAGCTGCTGTGGGGAGGGCAGCGGCTCACCGGGATGGTGAGGGTGGGGAGGGTAAGCCGCGAGGGGCGTCGCCGTTGAGGTGCGCGCTCCAGCGTACTGCTGCTCATAGCCCGGTTTCAATCCGCGATCGCGCATCTCCCGATCCCACAGCTCCATCTCGCGTTCCTGAAGCATCCTCTGGCGCATGTCCCTCTCCCTGAGCTCCCGCTCCACGAGGTCAATCTGGGCCTCCCGGCTGCCCAGGGCATAAACCTGCTCCAGCTGGTACTGCAGCATGGGGTCGGGTCCCATCAGGTTGCTGGCTGGGTTGCCCTGCACGATGACCGAGTGGGGCCGGGCGTACTCGCTCAAGGTGCGCATTGCTGGCATGTCCTGGCCGGGGTATCCTGCGAACCCTGGGGAACCTCTAGGTGGTGGCATAGAAACCTGGCCCTGCTGCAAGCCATACGAGCCAGTCACCTGTGCATCAGCTGTATTGTTCTCAGGGGGCGTATCAGGTTTCTTCTAGAAATATAATAAAACAAACACCATGTTTATTTTCACATATTTTAATAGTCATGTTAGAAATGATGGATGCATTATTTATCGACACTATGACTGCGCGAGCACTCTATGCTTGTATTGATTTTCAGTGATTAAGCACATTGTAATACAATGTAGTACAGGTGCTGATGGGTTAAGCTTAGAAACAAGAATAAATTATTATATTGGTAATCATTTGTCGCTACTAATGACCCTCTGTACAGCCTTAATACTTGCGTTGAGTTGTGTCACAAAGTCGACAAGTCATTCATATTTGACTTGCGCACAAAAGCTTTTCAACTGAGCTAGGACAAAGGCATTCCTTTGTCAATGTGCATTTCCGGCTTGACTTGTGATTCACTAGGATATTCTCCAAGTTAAAAATTGATCATATCCTTGACAGTCACAGGGGTGTGAGTGACCACTGATAAAACTAGCTGAAAACAGGTGAAAGAGGTGTAAAAACAGCTGAACTTTGGAAATATCATATACTTTTGTACACAGCAAGTGGGAAAAAAAAAGCTGAAATCCAAAACAAAAAAAGCTGAAATCAGCTTTAAAGCTGAGATTTCACACCCCTGCAGGCAAGAAACAGACAAACGAACGATGACTATCTGAGAAAAAACTCACTGTCGGCTTGTCAGTGCTGCTAGGCCTCCTCTGACGACCATCATCTTTGGCTTTGGCATCCTTCTCATCCTTGGAGGTAGGCTCCTTCTTAATGACGGTCTTCTTCCCCTCCTTCTCCTTTGCAGCTGCGGCTGCGGCATTTTTAGCCCTCTTGGCAGCCAGTTTGGAGCTGTCCAGTGGTGAGAAGATCATGTCCGTCCGACTGCAAGAGTTAACGCCCCGATGCCAGTGGCGAATGAACCTGCGAACATGACAAAAAAAGTCAGTGAACTGTTTCAGTGGTAACAATGTATCTGCTGGGCCAGTACCATGGAATTTGGGACTGTGGTTTAATAGCAATAGCGACGTGCTGCTCCAACGAAAAGAGAACAGACACTCAAAATATATCTCCTACAACTGAACAAATGGAAACATTTGATACTTTTTATAGCCACATTTCATATAAAAACAATTATCTATCGAAAAAGAGACTACTTAATATAAGGAACGGGTTTGTTTACCTTGCAGAAGAACTGACATAATCAGTTCGATCCACAACGACAGGATCAGGTGAAGGCATCCGGGGATATACACCCTTGTCTTCTTCCTCTTCTTCCTCACTGTTAGATTCTCTGGTGTCTTCCTCTGGCTTTTGGACCTCCGGATGAGGAGGAGCTTCCCCACCTATGACCGACTTTTCAGGTCCAGGCTCCTCATTTCTTTCTGTTTTCAGGAATACAGGATGGTATTTGGATAAGTCAGAAGGCTTCAGGGGCTCAGGAGGTGGCATGGGACTCTCTCTCGGAGGTTTCAAGACACGCTCATTAGACACCGTGTGCTCACTGTATCTGGAATATTCTCCAGACCTGTGACGATCATCAGCAAGTCTCAGAGGCTCTCCAACTTGCCCTAGCTCTCCGACTGTCTGAAGCTCTCCTGACCTTGGCAGTTCCCTTGATCTCTGCAACTCTCCTGATGCAGGGCACTCTGGTTGCCCAATATGTTCTCCTAATCTTTGGGGTTCTCCTGATCTTGGGGGTTCTCCTGATCTTGGGGGTTCTCCTAATCTAGGGGGTTCTCCAGGTCTGAGGAGCTCCCTGGATCCAATGTGGTCCCCGAAACTATGCCACTCGCGATATCTGGGATGCTCTCCTGGTCTAGGATGCTCAGCGGGTCGGATATGCTCCAGAGGTCTTGCTGGGTTGTCTACATGTCTGCAGAGCTTCCCTTGCTGCTCTCTAGGTCTTTGTTGAAGCTCAGGTCTATAATGCGCCATTTTGTGCACTTCTCCACATGAAGTCTCATCACTAAATCTAGGAAGTTTCTTCAATTCTCTGGTGTCTTCCCATCTTTCTCCGGACCTAGGGTAATCATCTTGTCTTGGGTGTCCTCCTGTTCTTGGATTATCAATAAAGGTTGGACGATCTCCTTGCTTGGGATGCTCGCCTAGTCTCAGATGGTCATGTAAATTCCCTTGCTTTGAATGATTTGCTGGTATGTCTTGATCTCCCGGTCTCGGGGTTTCACCAACACCAGGATGCTCTCCAGGCCGCACACTATCCACTGACCTCAAATGATCACCAGGCCTTACGTGCTGACTAGGCCTGAAATATTCACCATGTCTTGGGGGTTCTCCAGGTCGAAACAGTTCTGGCCTAAAATGCTCTCCAAATCGTATCTGATCCCTGGGATGACCTATATGACTCCCTAGAGGTTGACGTCTTGCTTGCTCCCCCAAAGACCTTAGATAATCTTCTGGTGGTTTGGGGGATTCCATTAAAGGCTTTGACCTATCCTCATGGCGTTTGAAATGGCTTCCTAAAGGTCTGCCACGCTCAAGTATGGGATATCGATGCTCTGCACTTGGTGTGTTTTTCTCCCCTGGTGATCTTGAGGGTTCGGCTGAGACTCTTGACTCAGGCTGAGCTCTGGAAAAATCAGGGGATGATTTTAACTTTGGAGATGACCTGTACTCTTCACGAGACTTTGCTTCTTTCTGCATATCAGAACGAGCAGCAAGAGGCTTGGGGCTATATCTAAAGTCAGGAGGCATGCTCGTGTTGCCAGAAGCTCTCAATCGTTCATCGAATACACCCGACTCCTCCTGACATGAACCCGAAGTTGCTTTCAGTTGCCTCATGCTGTCACTTGAGAGCTGCATGCGATCAGCTTGGCTTTTAAAGTAATCTATTGAATACCTTATCTGACCTTGATCTTCTTGTGCAAGCTTTTCCTTTTCAGAATTTTTCGAGTTAGCCTTTTGCGTTTTCAGGAGTTCTGGGGGAGGACCAAAGCCCTCTGACTGGAATCTAGATTTTTCAGCCGGAGGTTTCGAGGTGAAGCCTTCTGACGGAGGGCGTAGACTAGGGACTGGCGGTCTTAAACTGCCATCAGGGAAGTAAAATCTTTCGTTAGAACGAAGATAGTCAATGGGATGTCTGAAACGTTCATTAGGTTGCCTGAAAGACTCCGGCAGCATTCCTTGTTGGTTGCTCAAATTGGAAAGGCGATCTGGTGTCTGCATTCTTGGTGACTCCGAGTTAGAAAGTTCATCCCCTCTGTCCGGTCTCGGTTCTTTCTTTATCAATGGAAGAGGTTGATGCTGATAAGGGTCTTCCCGATCAACCTTTTCTTTTTTGATGAGAGGCATTGGAAGAGGGCGATAATATGTTTCTGGCTTGGCAAGGGATGGACTGCCTGAACTTGGGCGGCCTTCAAAGGACTGTCTTGCGGGCACCCGGTCAGGACTCTCAAAGCGTTGGATGACAGAAAATGCTTGAGACGAGGAGGTTGCATGGCGATTTGCTTCAATGTCACTGTCGTTGGTATCCGTATCAATCTTTTCCTCTTTGACTTTCACCACGGGTATGATGAGAGGTACTGATTCTGCCTGGTCCTGACTTTCGGACTCGGCCGTTGGAGAGGGCGATCGGGATGAAGAGCTGACGTCATCTGACATCCCTTCCCCTTCAGGGTGGCTTGACTCGTCGTTTGCATTTGTGGTGCTGTTGCTGTCTGTCGTTGTTGCGGCATCCTGGTCGTTGTCCGAGTTGGTTTCCATCTGTTCCAGCTCCTGTTGAAAGAAGGAGGTCGTATCATGTTATTCTCAAAACAAAAGTTATGACCCACATGTATTGTATCTGAAAAATAAAAGACCAAGAATTCAGTTCCTTAAGAGTATAGGCAATTTTCCATGTACAAAATGTATATAAATAAGACATGTGGGAACATTTTTTTTTGGGGGGGGGTGTTAGGAATGAGGCAAACGGAGGTTCTGGCCAATTACTTACACATGCAACTAAGTAAGTAAAAATTGCCAGATTTCAGCCACAGCATGTACTCTTATAACATAATTCCATAATTTCAGTGGCAATACATGTTTCTTGACAATAACACATATTTAACTCCATTCCATCTGACTAGGATACAAATCATATGAAAGGTGTTGTTGGTCCCTTTTATTTGATACCACATTTGACGTTGTGATGCTTGTAGTTCTGAAGTTATCATAAATTTTCCACTTTTCAGCCATGTCTATCTTCCGTGGAATTGCTCTAATCCATAATACCCTACCCCCAACCCTTCAACATCCAACTGCAGGTTTTGTTGGAATCTGTTGGAGTGAGTACTGCACTAGTAAACTAATTATGCTTTACATGGGGTCAGGCATACCACCATAAGGCAAAAAAAAAAAGGCTCCGGTTTCTGGTATGGAGCTTGCCCAAAAAGTGGTACGGCGACGCGGCTTTTTTTAACTGATTTTTTTTGCTTCAAATGTCGGCTGATGACTGCAATTGGTGCCCGAGTAAACTTAGTGCAAATATATGGGAGTCTAGAGAGGCCACATAAAGCTTATTCTCGACAATAACCCAATCTAAAAACACGTTAAAATTGTGCAGCAGCAGGATTCCAGTCAAACCAGTGAGTTTGGCGGTTTGAGACATCATCTTTCATTGAAAAAAAAACGTTTTCATTTTGCTGACGCGCATGGCTACGGCGACACGCGCGCATACCAGAAACCGGAGACTTTTTTTTTTGGGTCTAATAAGAATCCAATACTTTGGGTGTTGAGTTTACCATATGGTGTTAGATTTTGCGAGAGTGAGGAAGGTTCATAGTAAATCACTGAAGGGGTTAGGGTTATAGTAACTTACTGGTGCATCTACTTCAGGTGCTCCTGCTTCCTCTGTTTCCTGTTCCTCAGTCCTCATCCCGGATTCTTCCGTTGTCTCTCCTTCCTCGGCCTCATCTTCGTCTTCATCTTCCTCGTCTTCGTCTTCCTCATCTTCGCCGGCTGGTTCCTGCTTAATGGACGGCACTGACGGACTCCCTGGGTGATCTGTACCTGGCTCCTCCTGGTGAGACATGGCAAGTGCATTAGTTGACTGTTGACTGGACCTCGTGTACATATCGTCCAGGCTCCTGGCCAGCTCAAACGTACTTGTTTAAAACCGGCCAAGCACATAATTATTCTCTTATTCACAATCCCTTGAGTAAATTTCAATTCGTAAAATATCTCTTGAATGGAAAGTTTCATTGGCAACATAAATCTCAGAGAGCGTTCTACTTTACAGACTTCCAAGACAATTAAATAGCACCCGAAAATCCAATCCTCTTTAAAGTTTGTTTCTTTCTTTTCAGTCTTTGTGTGTATCTATATCAACTCTGGTATAATCTTTACATAATTCACAAAGCTTCCAAAATGGTTGATTTCCCATTGATGGTGAATTTATAAATCAACTTTGGACAAGGCATAAGCTATTACCGAGTCAGTACCTTTATCATTTTTGTAATTGCATTCTTCTGTGACCTATCCCAGGAGCTCTCCTTACCTTGATTTTCTTCTCGCTAGACTTGCTGCTGCTATCGCTGGAGGTGCTGAGAGAACACGGGGAGTGGCGATGCTTCTCCTGCTTCCGTTCGATGTTCACAGGGCTGCAGGGCTCGCTGACGCTGCCGTGCTTGTTGCGTCCACTACGGAGCGTTGAGCTTACCTGTACGGATGAATAGATGAGGCAGTGTACACAAGATGGTGTACAAAAGACGGCGACCAGTGTACACACCCTACAATTTGCTCTGATATTTTTACTCATTGTTCCTGGTTTCAGCCACATACGCACTCTGAATTTTACATTAGCTGAAAGAGCATTGCACACTAATAACTGTGGATCATTTTCCTGTGGAAATGCAACTCATAATTGTGAATTTCGCGACGATTTTGAGCCCGATGCCCAGCTTTCTACACAAGCAACTGTTCTGGATGGGTACACGCTCGACCGACCCCACAACCAGGATAGAGCCAGCTATTGTGCTTGTAGTCGGGGCCTTTGTCCACGCCATGCTTTCACTTGCTCATAGTGCTATACAAGTACATGTACAACAACATGGCTGATAAATCTCCGAAAGAATCTACAAAGGAAATCTAGAGCTGGAAGGAGCACCAGGTTTGGACGTGTCCCAGTCAGGTACTACCCTAATTATACAACATTCAACTGTGTACTATCTGCTTGTGACGACGTTCAAATCATACCTGTGAGCTGTGGAATACCATGCCAGTGTTCTAACAAATGCATTCTCAGTGTTTGTTTCTTTAAAGGTAGAAATGGACAATTCATCATTTGTGCATTTTCTTTTGTTTGAAGCAATATTGCTCAAAATCTAAAGACGGGTGCTTAACAACTAACCTGATGAAGTTTTAGCTCTGTGAATGCTGCATACTTTGAGAAAACACAATATTCTGGATTTTACTCGCAAAACTACTGCATGCTCTCTTCTTATGCATTTACGTTCATCAAGTTTCCAGAGAAATATCTACGCATGGAATTTCAGAGTACGCATCATGGATACGCAACTGATAAACCTCATGAAGCCAGAGTTGTAATGACTCGAGTCAATGACTCGACTCGACTTGAGGAAGGCTAATAAGACTCGAGTCCCAAAATAAAAGCAAAACTTACTTGCGAAAAATATTTGCAATGACTTACGCTGCGCCGTTCGCGTTGCCAGTTTTTGTTCACGTCACGTTAATGTTCGCGAATAATGTACGTTTATATACAGCGGCAGTCTGTTTCCTTCCTCCATAATGAAACAACAAACATACACCGTGTCGCGGACTCCCACCTTGTGGTTCTATAGCATGTAATGCTAAACCCGGAACCAGACTTAAAAGGCATTTCTCAATCCGTGGTTTCATCATTGGTTTCGGGCGATTTTGAAGTTCTTGGTGGAACGCTGGCTAAATTCATGTCCCGATTTCACACAAAAAAATGGATACGGACGGGCCCACCTTTAAATAATCAGAAACAGTTTTGTATAATGCAATTAGGTTTTAACGTTGTCAGCGATCAGCGAACAACAAAATCTAGACCCGAAGCCAAACCGGTTATAAGACCGAAGTTTCACATCTTCTTATCTGTGACGTGAGCTAGCAATGGAAACTGTTGGTTGGGTACCATACAGCATACTTTATGTCTTTGGATTTCCGTAATAGACTGGTGCCTTGTATTCTTTCTCTCTTGTGTTTGTTGCTTTTTATTGTAATTTAGTGTTCAAATATTTGTGACTCGATTTGACTCGAGCTAAATACTTGACTCGACTCGACTCGACCACACTTTGTGACTCGACTCGACTCGACTCGACCTTGTTGACCTAATGACTCGACTCGACTCGAGTCACTTCTTTAAAATGACTCGACTCGACTCGAGTCACAAAAATCAGTGACTCGTTACAACTCTGCATGAAGCTAATAGCCTATGTGTAATGTGTAGTTCAATCCGGCCACAGAATCATTGTACATTTACAGAGGCCCCAAGCTGTTAATCAGACTAGCTGTCACAGAGACGTAGCTTTGTGCAACAATTCTTTCGCTGTCACTGGGGGACCACCGCGAGTGCATATTTCATTCCTGGATTGATGTGCACAATACACTGAAAAGGGTTATGTCTCCTGATTCGTACCAAATCTCTCTGCCTTCGGCTCCTGAGTTTGTGGCGGACGACGTCGTAGGACTCCCCCTCCCTGACTGGCTTGAACATGAACGCCGGCGGCTCGCGGGGGTTCTCAATGGGCGGCAGCTCGCCGTACTTCTTGAAGCTGAGCCTGCAGTTGGTGCAGAGGAGGATCCGCTCTCGAGACCCGTGGTGCCAATCTTTAGATGCTGCACCAAAAATTCAGTTTATTCATATTTCGTGAAATATTCAAGGACAATTCGTGGAATGTTGCATCCTGGATGGACTGCGCTTGGTAGACGAAAAACAGCCATAAGTAACAGTATTTTTACAAAAATTAATTTTATTACTTTTTAAAACAGTAAGAATGGTGGCACGAAAATGAAGCCAGTAGTTCTGTGAATTTTTTTTCTCTTTTCCTCTGGCCATTATGTGCACGTTGTCCATCATTAACCCTCGCAGACTCCCAAGCTGATTAATCTGGTGAAAACACTCTCTTCTGACAATGAGGAGGCATGATAACATGACGTTAATTCTTTTTTTTAAATCTATCTCACAGAGTTGCAATCAAGGCAATCACAAGTCAGGTTGCAGAGTTGGTTTATAGTTTTATAGTTAATAGTTCTTAAACCTTCTCCAAACTCTACATACTTGTAGTGAAGCAGTGTCGGCAAGCGTAGCTACTGAAGTCTCTCTCGCTGTCATCACTATCCATGTCGCTCTCACACGCTGAGCTCAAATCCACTGTCAGAAAACAAAATGACATTTAAAAGTGGGCAACAATTTTCAGCAAGAAAATCCACTTTAATTCTTTGCATAAGGCAAGCCAATAATTATTTGTGAACTGTGTTTTTAGTTTTTTAAACTCGAACTCACAGAATTCATTAGAGGGAGGCCTGTTGGCTCGGGCACATGTCTTGATTCGGCGGAGGACGCTCTGTCTACGATGTCGACGATAAATCCTCTGGCCGGACGCCTCGGGGGACTTCTTCCAGTAGTAGTAAAACTCTACAAGATCACCCTGTGCGGAAAAACAAGATCGGGAAAGTCTAGTAAAGCCGGTCTTAGACCTAGTTGGTTTCTAGGTAATCATCTGAGTCACATTTTGGAGCCAATCTGAGGCTTACGCAGGTTTTCATCACCGTCCGCCTCGATTTTTACTCCTGTTACGACGTGTCTAGTGGTCATTGCAAAATACGAAGCATCCTTTTCTTTCAATAGCCAGTTTTATGCCATAAAAATACATGAACAAGACTATAATACCGAGACAATGTGTGTCAAATTGTAAGAAAATGCATTGAATTATTATGAATTAGCCTGGAATATTGCAGTTGAAATTTCAAAGTAGCTGTACAGTCCACTGAGTGCTTGTTTTCCTTTAAAATTGCATCACACGTCCGCCATTTTGTTTTACGGTTTAAAAATTTCAAGAGGAGATCTGACGACTCTTAGTTGAATATCAGACGAATATTTACTGTACGCTGACTAAATAAATAAAACAGTCACTGAATTGTGCTATAAATACACCTATGACGGGTCAAACTTACGACATATTCTGTGAAATTGATCGCAGGATGCGTTGCGGCTACGCATCGTAGGGATATGACGCGCCGCAGCGCTGCGATGCATTGTAGGGATATGATGCGTCGCAGCGCTGCGATGCATCGTAAGTTACCATGAGTTTCATGAAATCGGGTGCAGCAAATAAAATTCTTTCTTTTCATGTTCCTTTGAAAAATAAGTCTCAAGGAAACAGATTTTGGTCTGCTTTAACTGTAACCCTCGTAGATCCTTCAAAACCCTCCAGGAAGAGAATATTGCAGGGTTGCAGAGCGTACATAGCAGCAACTGCTGACTTTACATGCACATTTGACACGATGCATTTTTGAAAGTAAAAGTTGGAGTCTTCAGAAAGGTTTCAACAAATTGCTGAGGGAGTAAGGATTCACAGGAAGTTACGGAACAAAAAATGCTTGGGAAAAGTGTTACTAGCACAATCAATTTCGACTTGCAGAGTGTCATATTCTTTCCGTAACTAAACCTTTTTTGTGAAGTGGTCAGAAAATGTCTTTGTCTGATCTGACCGTTATTTCAATCTCTTAAAGACTGATACATTTTTCAGATGAACAAGAGGAAGTGAATGACATACCCGTTCTTTGTGTGGGAGAAGCTCCTTGCGGATGCGGAAGAAATTCTTGCCGTACTGGCGCAGCCCCTTCACAAACATTTTCTGCCAGGAGAAAAATAAAACTTGATCCGGTCAGATGGATCTACTGAGCAGGTAAGAAATTGCTTAACAAATTGTTGTGCTGGTTTATATGAAATGATGGGAAACACCGACCCGATATGAACCGAATGCAGTTTTAGGTCGGGTCGGTTTCGGGTCGGTTTGCACATTCGCTCCTATTGGAAAGCACACATGTAGACAAAGCATGACGACATAACATCACACGGCTTTTGGGCCTCTAACAATAATACCAAAGTATTGATAAAATGTAAATGAAAGTTAAAAGAAATTCTGTGCTATCGTAAAAAAAAAAGATTTAGGATTGAAAACATGTGGGTTAGGCCCCCCCCCCCCCAAATAGTTCTGCTTCCGGTTTCCCTACCTACCCTATTCTGACAGCCCCTACCCTAATTTTTTTTAATTGGAAAAGTGAGGAAAAACACCCAAAAACCATCAATTTGTACCTATTACCCTTCACTAAACGCTGACGCCTTCATATGGTCGTACACAAAAAATTGGCAAAAAAAAATCCCTACCTACCTACCCTATTTTCGAAACCATGTAATTGGAATCAGAACTTCTTTTTTTGGCCTTACTTCTGACAGATTAATTTAAAAATTAATAAATTAATTTCTTTACCGTTTCCTGCTCATTCCACTTCTTATCAACAGAGCGAGGGACACAGGTCTTGACTAGAGCCTGCAGAGCCTTGCCACAGTTGTAACTGTTCTCATGAAGCTGTGAGACAAAGAAAAACAATACAATATCAAATGGTATACAACGTAGATAGCAAACCAGCGAGGTAACAACTCCAATGACTATACCTCATACATATTCATGATCGAGAGCCGAGATCCCACTCATCCATTCACCATGTGTAAATTAGCTTTCATTCCCACTTGAAAAGAGGCTACAAAGCGCCCTCTGCATGTCGTGCACAGACCCTATAGTCTCACCACGGTGACCGGTTTAGCCGATTTTCAGCTAACTTTGACAGAATATTTTTTAAAAACCAAGTTTGACAGAAAATTTGACAATGATTTTTTTTGGCAGATTTCTGGCAGAATTCTGCAAAAATTGTTATTTGACAGAAAACAGCAAATTTGAAAAAAAAAGTGTACATTTGTTTAAAAAAGCTTCAATCCTTTCAAACAAACCCTTGCATAATGGGACAGAATGGCTGGTCTAGGTGCTGAGGTTCACTGGAAACAGACTTCGTCGTGTGGCCGCGGATCCGCGTTAAGCCCAAAATTTACCAATAATTTCACAATAACTTTATGTGACTAGATTGTTTATTATGTAATTTGAATCTCAATTAAGGCAATACTACCAATCTGCATGTGATTTTAAGGGTTTATACTGTATTTCGAGTAAATCTGGGGAATTTGGCAGATTTTTTGATATGCATTTAGCAGAATTTGGCTCTGACCTTACGGTCACCCTGAGTCTCACTTACACACTGCAGTGCATTGATAGTTGTATCATCCTTGGAGGCTACTTCGCATCCTTCCTCGGGTGAGCCTCCATCACACATACCAACAAAAGCTGCCATACTCCTGGATAAACCAAAGCAACGTAACAGGTTTCAAGATAAGCCAGTCTGCTTTTTTTTGCATGTGAATGTCATGATTTGGTGATTTTCATTTTGGGATGAACACAACAGATACATTTACACAGACTTTCATATGGGTTTGAGACTGACTATACTTCTAACGTACATGCGTACCTTGCAGTACATATGTATGTATTCAACACCATTTCTGTGACATTTCCAGACCTCTTGTTTTTGAGCAAGCATTTAAATTTTCAGAGACCAAGCCTAAAGGGTTCATTATTTGATGACGGTTCATTGTATACCGATATTTGAGTCAACACTCAATGTCAGGTAAAAATGTGTTTTTCAGGGCAAAAATCTCACAAGATTTTCTTGAAACCTTTTTAGAGACATTTAGAGACCCATTTCCCCAAAACGATAATTTGGAATCCTCCATTTATCCTAACCACCCCAACTCCATCAAAATCCATCCGCGCCCCCCCCCCCCCCACCCCCCCCATTTTGGTGGATTTTTGGGGACTTGGTCCAGAAGGCCTGGCGTGACTAAATACTGATGGAGTATGAGGGACTTGGGCCTAATGGCCTGAAGCAGTACTAGGGGTATCCGATTGATTTTGCCTAGCTTCCTGTACTGCTATAGTGATAAAAGCCATGTGTAGCAAGTCCTTGAATGTCAACCAGTGCGTCAGTGGTGGATTCCATCATGTCATGTACAGTTTTGTATTGGACGCACAGTGATTGGTGGATTTTAATGGACTTGGTCCAGTTCCTAGTAAAAGATGGTAGTGAGTTAGGTTTAACATAAAAACAACCCAAATGTTTTGTATTTTGAATGTCAAAAGCATTGAAAGGCTTTACTATTTCAAGCCAGACTTGAATCAAACGTGACGCTCCATTACGTGAGATTTGTGTGAGGTCTTGAAAAAGGTCTCGACTAATACCTTGCTGCCTGGAGATACATCTTGAGGTCAATGTCGTGGATGACAGGTCGCCAAGTCAGCTCCTCATGCTTGGTGATCAGCAGACCACTGGGCTGCTTCAGCTTGGGCCGGAGTTCAGGCAGGACGGCCTGGTGACTGGGCCCGACCCGTATCTCCCCCTGGGTGCTGGCAAGACGTCTGGTCAAAATACAAACGAAAGGAACAAATAAGAGCCTTGCTTGACCTATTCCACTTACAAATTTTAAAATGCGATCTTAAGGCTTTGCATGGCGGAGAGTACAGCTTGGGTAGACATTTGCAGATGAACCATATACGAAGAAACTAACTCTTAAACTGAATCAATGCCCAACAACAAGAGGTATTGACTTGTCATTGTGGTCTTTTGTCGGGAGAAAGGAATTGACCAGTTTCCATTTATACTCCAAGACACAATTCGTACACTACCCAGAATAACTCTGAAAGTCATTTTTCACTCCAAAAATATTTCTCCACTTTTTCAATACTACCCCTTCATAAAATGCTTGTACCCAACCCTGCAGTGCGTGGGAAGAATGCGTGCAACGTACACACTCGTACATGTACTTTGCTAAATGTCAAGTATTTTTTTTTTTAAGAGAGTCTTCTGTTGTATACATGTACACGTAGTCGTTAAGCTTTGCACAGAGAATATAGTTAGAAAATAGTGAATGCCATTTGAGTGCTCCTGGCAAATCAAGAGACAGAATATATGGGTGAGCTGAAGTTTAACCCTAACCTTCCCAAATCCTCCAAAAATGCTCTTTGCAAAATGGAGGATTTTGCAGGATTGAGGCTGTATGGCAGAAGTGTGTGGCTGATTTCGGAGGATGCACTGTGTCAAAGTCTATGGTCGGACCTCGAGTTTATGCTCTGCTGTGCATAAATGTAGGCTTAAACATGTATTATACTTGAAATCCTCCGCACTGCTCCAGGATGTCACTGGCTCTGCCTCAACATATTCACAGTGATTGCCGGAGGATTGTGCAGGATTGAGGCAGTGGTCACCTCTCCAAGGACCACATTCACGAAATAACGGAGGATTTTGGAGGGTTGAGGCTGTATTGTATTTTTACATGGAGGTAGTTGGATGATTTTGCAGGATTGAGGTTACATCCTGGCAACCATGCCTAAGGAGTTAGGGTTAATGGAGCTCCTCCTCCTTCTACAGCCTCACCCCTCCCCTTCCATCTATTCAAGTCGTCCACGCCAAACCCACCTTGTCTCCGGGTTATAGCCCAGGATGTAGAAGAAGGTATCCGGCCTGGCCTTGAAGTCCTTAGCATTCTGGATGTCCTTGAAGTGTTTCACATTCCCTTTACCCCTAGATAGGTCCAAAACAACAATGAAGAATAACTGCCTGCATGTCACTTAAAGATGAAGTCCATCATTTGTAATTTGTGGATTTTGTTCGTTTGAAGCAACAAACGTGCTCAAAATCTAAAGAAGGGTGCTTAACAACTAACCTGATGAAGTTTCAGCTCAGCTTCAGCTGTATATTCCGAGAAAACAGCACTCTAGGATCTCAACTTCAAGTCAAAAGTTGCCAAATCATGTTTTGAATTTGGCCTGAATTCAGCGTCCGAGACACGTTCTCACTGAGCCGATTGCAGCTACGCCATGTCGCGCACTGATCCGACGAATTATAGCAACCGCGCGTGCGTGTGTGTTGACCAATGCTTGCTGGCGCTTCGCCGAATATCAAAACGAACTACTATTTCAAATTTCCTACGGTGCGTCTTAAGAAGCACCGTTGGAAAGGCCTTCTTTCGTTGATTACTTCAAAATGACAGCTTGCCAGAAAGAATAATATCACAGGGAGTTTAGTCCACTTACTATCTTTCCACCAAGTATGTTTTTCAACAATAATTACGTCAGTTACTGTTCAGATAGCTGCAAATGATGGACTATAGCTTTAAAAATTCACTATGAACAAATTTCAATCTAAATGCTGGGGTTCTCCGCTCGGTATGTAAGCAATGTACCCGTAGGCCTTTTGGGAACTTTTCTTTTATTTCCAATCTTGCAACAAATTAGGGAGCACTGACATGACAACTGATAGCATGCACTAGTTAACCTCAGCACGGTGAGATTTTACAGGAACATGGTACTTCTGGGACATCGTATAGGAGGTAGATGTACGTGTGTACATGAACAATGTATACGTCCACGTACATACAGTGCATTTTTTGCCCTGGCTGCGCTGGGCTCTTCTAGTCAATGGTAAAACCGGGTTTACAGACACACCGTTGGAAATTTCTGTTAGTATTTTTTTTATCCGGCGAAGCGCGCGCACGGTTGCTATAATTCTTCGATCAGTGCCTGACATTGCGTAGCTCAATCGGCTCAGTGAGAACGTGTCTCGGACGCTGAATTCAGGCCCAATTCAAAACATGATTCAGCAACTTTTGATTTGAAATCGAGATCCTAGAATGCTGTTTTTCTTGAAATATACAGCTGAAGCTGAGCTGAAACTTCATCAGGTTAGTTGTTAAGCAATTTTAGGAAAACACTCCCTTTATGCAAAGTTGTTAGACATATGGGTTACATGTACGTCTGTGCATTTACGTTACGTGTATTTTGGAAACTGGGTATTTGAGAAATGCTGACGGGCATTTTTGGGGGATATGCGCTTATTGACTACGCTGGGCTCTTCTAGTCAATGGAAAAGCTGGGTTTACAGATAGTCTTAAAACGCACTGTTGGAAATTTCTGGTTTTTTTATTCGGCGAAGTGCGCGCAAGCGTTGACACGATGCCCACGCGCGCGGTTGCTATAATTCTTCGGATCAGTGCGTGACACTGCGTAGCTGAATCACCTCAGTGAGAACGTGTCTCAGACACTGAATTCAGGCCCAATTCAAAACATGATTAGCAACTTTTGATTTGAAATCGAGATCCTAGAATGCTGTTTTTCTCAAAATATACAGCTGAAGCTGAGCTGAAACTTCATCAGGTTAGTTGTTTAGTATCCTTCTTTAGGTTTTGAGCACGTTTGTTGCTTCAAACGAACAAAATGCACAATTTACAAATGATGGACTATACCACATACATGTACATGTATGGGGACTATGTTACAGTAAAAATGCACATGACCTCGTCCTGTTGTCAAGGAAGGGAGCCTACCTCGGGAGAAAGTGACCTCACACTTTGGAAGCGTGTAATAAGAAGCTGCAGCAACTTGCTTACTGATTGGACTGACTTGAAATACATCTTGTTAACCCTAACAGAACTCAACCCATCAAACCCCAACAGCATGTATTGTTGGAATCTGTCTGGATGGGTACAGTACCCCTAAACTGACAGTCTTTTACATTGGGTTGGCACACCTCCAGAAACTAAGTCAGAAATATGTGTGTGCAGTTTCCCATTATGGTGTTGGAATCTGCCAGGATGGGTATGGTTCCTAGTAAATCATGCTAGGGAGTTGGGATTAAGGTAAGCAGGCCTGACATTTCAATGCTAGTGGAATTGCTAGGGTTTGTTACGAATATTTCACTGGGGTCAAACCTTTTATGCTGTTTACACTCACCTGAGCAGAGACACGTGGTAGTTCTCTGTGGTGTCCGATACAAAGAGCTCCCTGCTCTTGATGATCGGGTCTTTGGTGACCAAGTCAATCCCAGAATCTAAAAGCAAGAAGAAAACAATATACATCCAATGGCAATAATGTTCACATCTCGTTGAACAAATGTGATGCGATCAAGCTGCATGAGTCGTTTGTCGGGAATTTTTGTGTGGAGATAGATACAGGCCAAAATAGGGCCACTTCATCACATCTCTTGGTGTTCCGACTTCCATAAATTTTGAACTAAAGATGGTATCAGCATGCGGTTTTCACAGCAGTAATGCTGAGATTGTGCTCTTTTGAAATCTGCAATAAATCTATTTTTGACCAGGGTCGACAAACGACTCATGTAGCTTGATCGCATCACAAACATGTTATTAATGCTCACTGATTAAAACATCAAAAGGGCAAACCCCGATATTGAGATATCAACAATGCAATTTTAGGAAAACACTCCCTTCAAGCAAAGTCATTAGACATATGGGCTACATGTAGGTCTGTGCAAATTTACGTTACGTGTATTTTGGAAATTGGGTATTTGAGAAATGCTGACGGGCATTTTGGGGGGATATCCGCTTATTTGAACAACATTTACAATGCTTGGGAAAGAGAGGGAAAAAAGAGGCCAGCTTAGTTCAATATCCAAGGATAAAAGTGGAAAAGTCCACACCTTTTTCTAAAACAAACACTTTGTGAAGGTTTTCTTTTTCGTTACTACAATGTAGTTGTCAACAAAATGCAAGTATACAATCAATAAACTGGAGGGTTAAAATAACCGGCAATATGTGCCTCTTTCAAAAACAAAAAAACACGCACAACCTAAGAAACCAACCAACATTCAAAACACAATAATACGGTTACCGTTTTCAGTGTGCCTGTCTTGGACCAGCAGCTGGTAGACGGAGTCTGGTACTTCAGACTGACGGTAGAACCACTTGACTCCGACGATCACATTGTCTCGCTTACTCTGCAAGATGAAGTGTCAAAAAAATACTTCAGAATTACGCGGATAGAGGATATGCATGTACGTGTACAATGTACTTCCTGTATTAAAAGATCCTATGCTGTCTGTCTGTCTGTCTGTCTGTGTGATGTCTGTGTGTCACGTTTTGTGCAACGGTTAATGGAGAGGCTAGATTATTGTATGGAGGTGCTCAACTGGTATATGCCCCGATTTCAATGTCCTCTGAAGTCACGGTTGGCACAGGAAAAAATGATTTCTTTGTTTTGTTTTGCATTTTTTTTTAGCAAATGTGAATCAAAGGGAGATATCCTCTGTTAGGGTTGAATCTCCTCTTTAAAATGACACAGATCATGTCCTTACATTCACGGTTGACTGAGCGGTGACCAATTTATGAAAGGATCTATTTAGAGACTTGCGCCACTTTTCATGGTGAAATCTCTTTTTTTTCCCCACCTGCCTTGATTGGCAATCATAGCCTTTCACTCTGTGATAAATGACACAGCAAAAACCACAATTGAAAAATGGCGCAATTCTCTAAATAGACCCTTTCTTAAAATTGGTCACTGCTCAGTCAATCGTGAATGTAATGACATGACCAGGGTGTCATTTTAAAGAGGAGATTCAACCCTAACAGAGGATATCTCCCATTGATTCCCATGTGCCCTACATGTACTTCTGTTCCAATTAGCAATAATATGTTGGTTTCGTTTTTTTTTATCCACCCTGAATAAAAACACTTACCACTCTGAAATCTTGTATCGTGCATATGAAATACGGCATATCCGGCCGCGGGCTTTCAACGTACACACTATCTGTAGATCAAGAAATCACACAGGAAATTGGGTGCTTGAAGTACCATGAATAGGACGTTTGCACAAGACACCAAGGAAGCATGTGGAATATGATTTCCACGAACTGACGCTGAACAACATGAACAGGTTCTCAAATGCGTATTTCTTTTTTGGCAAAATATTGAGAAAAAAACTGATTGTTTCATATGAATGGTTATTACAGGTCTTGTTTTCTACAGACATTTTGCATTTTTCAAATTAGCAGCTGTGGTGAGGAGTTATGCCATTTTCATTGAAGTGGCTCATTTTCCAGTCTGCACAGGGAATTGGTTTTGCCTTGTTTAAATGTGTCAATAACTTCAAGTGAGTCAGTTACCATCATGACTAGGTTTGTATTTGTTATTGCTCCACATCAGTATATGATATCAATAAATTTGTTGAACCATGAAACCATAAGAGTGTTTTTGTTAGCGTGTATTCTTTGCTAGCTCTTTTCTTCAAAATGGTGAAACTTTCACCAAATATGTCCAAAATACCAGCCTACAAAATATCTCATTTGCACTTGTTTATAATTGCTACCGGGTACATGTACATATATTTTTAATATTTTCTGTAATTTGGGTCCAGATCATTCTGAATCACCCTGTACATAACGGTACATGTATGACACTGTGTATGTAGGCCTTGGTAATGTTGTACAATGTACATGTTTTTGAAGGCCTACATGTACACACTTCAAGTCTACAAGATTCGGCTACGGTGCAAGAGGTACATACATGTACATGTATGTATAGTACAAATATAGTCGTACACATAAATTACACAAAGTGAGATTTAAGGATGTGACTTTGCATCTATTTTTGTACCGTTTAGCAAATATTTTAAATATCTTTTAAACGTATGAATGTGCATGAATGTACAGTCGACTCTCGTTATAACAAGGTCAATGGGACTAGCCAAATTACAATGTACCTCTTTATAACAGGAATGTTGTTATAAAAGGACAGCGAAACAAAGAAACACAAAGAGAACCCGAGATTTGGGACCTCAGACTTCGCTCTTTATAAGCAGAACCTCTTTATAAAAGCGCTCTTTATAATGAGAGTCAATGGTATGTAATATCATGTATAGCCCTTTCACAAAGGCTGATGTCTGCATGTTACATGTATACATGCATACGTACCGGTATGTCTGCAGAGTACAGGCAGGCATGATTGGCATCAACTATAAATCAACCATACTATACCGGTAGTTGATGATAAATAGCGGGCAGTCACTGACAAAGTAAAAACTTAACTACGTGTATACCCCAAATGTAATCAATCACTGCAATGCTCCTGAGGATTTGTAAATTAAATAGGTTTGAAAATATCGTTAATTAGGCCTATTTGTGCTACCAGTAGGTACATGTACATTCGTATGCACATGCATGCTTCACTCGAAAGGAAGATGTACATGGCATAAACATTATACACATGTACAAGTACAATGTAGGTCCCTTCTTTATTTTCGAGTTTCGTTTAAACGTTTTGGAAAATTTGTAAATAGACAGATTTTTTTTCATCACATCATGTTGTACATCACTGTATGAATGGAAAAAAACTGACAGACGTGTAGGCCTATATATATCAAAGTACCCTCCTTTTTTTTTAATTAAAAAAATTGAACTAATCTTTGAACATGAAGGTTTTTTATATGACAGGGCCATATTACAACACAACATCATAATACTGGTATTTTATATTTGTCAGTAAACATAAACCAATTTTCACCTTATAGTTATACCATTCTACCTCCATGGTTATACATACACAAGTACATTGTACAATGTATGCATGATCGAACTAATAATGCAAACAGTGATGCTCCATTACATGTACAATGTAAATGTATTCTACACAACACCTGGCATGGTAGTATTTTGATGGATTTTATTACTGTACATAAATTATATATGCAAGTCACTACTACATTTCATAATTTCATGAATGTGTAGGCCTATTATGGTGTTGGATTTTTCACACACAAACAGCTTTTGTTAATGCACGATTTATGAGAACCCTTCGGCAACTTCCTGTGGCAAGCCAAGCATTCACTGCACATCTTAACAGCCCCACTGATCTTGGGGGAGTCGGGCGGACAAAGAAAAAGGTTGCGTTTCTGACAAACATGTGCGATGCACACGTAACTGATATCAACAGGAATTTATTTTTTGTCTGGTGTGGATGCATGCAAATGCCTCCACGGATCATGAGGAGCAACAAATTTGTAAATTTATGCTGCAGATTTTGTAAATGTTGTTGAGCAGACACTTGTAATTTACACTGGTCAGGTGTACATGTACATGTAGTAACAGGGATACAATAAAAGTAAAGTAACACTATTGGAATATATGTACATTGTAATTTATGCACATGTATAGGTACCTACAATATATGTAACCCACTCCAGGAAAAGGTGATATCATTGTAAGTCGCAAAAAAATAAACTTCAAGTTATATACACGACTGGAAAGCCCACAACGTAAGCTTTCATTTGATATATATGACACAGCTGTATAGCCCTTCTCGTTGTGGAGATATAACGAATTTGCATATTAATTAGTTCCATGGAGTTCAAATCACACAACTGAGAAAACAGGCTTTGAAATAGCTGGCTCTGTTGTAGATTCGGGCAAGAAAAACTCACTTTTAATATCTTAGCAACAAACATGTTCCTTTTTACTATCACTTTTAAACTTCGGATATTGATTCTACAATGATTATTTTCAATGATTTTTGAAGAAAAAAAAACTTTTTGAAACCAGATTACTATCTTTTGGCTCATTTGCATAGTTTTGGGATGTAAAATACAGAGAAAAATGCACACAAAATAAGGTTATTTTTTTCCCTTTATTCATCGAAATCAACATTTCTGTGAATGAATCCTTAAACTTTAGGTATCAAAGATGTCATTTTAAGACAAAAAAAGGAATTTGGATTTTGACGGAAAATTTCACCCTCTCAACGTTCAGCGGGCCATTACACATAAAGGCATAGCGCGACTTATATCACCTTTTCCTGAAACGGGTCACATACATGTGTTCATGTACATGTACATGAAATGGAACAATAGTTTGTATCACATTCAATGTATACACATTATGAACATTGTAAGTAAAGTACATGTACATGTGTATGTAGTGTGTACATACATGTACTTACAACACGTTTCTGCAGTACACAAAAAAAGTGTATGTTAACAGTACAGTATGTACAGTACATCAAACTGCTTCGTTCATTTCAATTTTTTTTTTAATTCGACACGCTACATGTACAGTACATCTGTCAAACGGGTTAAAATATTTTGCAAGTCTAACCAAAAGTGAAAAAGCTCTAGGTTTAAAATTTTGCAGAGAGGTTCACCCAAAACAGAACCTTGTTTTTTATTCAGGTTCTTGATAATAAATCAGCTGAGGCCGGCTAAAATACTTAAAAGGCCATAGGACAATCTTGTTGCACTTGGCAAGGCAATATTAATACCTACACTACAGGTCATCCATATGACGGTGACTTTTCACACAAGTACACTGTAAATTACTTTTTTGTAATTTAATGTACATGTACAGTAATTCAATGTGGCAGGTGCATAGCACATTAGCAGGAATGCAATGTAGTCAGTGTACATCACGCAGGCATGCAACTGGGAACTTAGGAAAAAACGAGGAAATTATGAATCACACAAGACTTTGTACAGTGTTTTTCAATTTGTAATGGCATTCATGAGAAGTAAAAAACGAGGAAATCAGCGGATCCGAGGAAAAGTTTCATGCCTGTACTACTGGTACATGAATTCATTTTGGCTAAAATCAATTTAGTAATTTCCATTTTTTTTGTTCTGGGGTTCTTTTGTTTTTTCTCTGTTCCAAAATTCGGTTATTATTTTCTTTATTCTGTTTGGTTTACTGGTTGTTAATTTAAATATATTCAAAAATGAAATCCAGAAGTTTTTTATGCACTGTAAATTGTCAAATAACTGCTTACTTCACAAATACATGCACATGTGGTTCAGTACATGTACATGAAATAAAATTGGAACGCCATACGTGTTAATTATAGTTCATCGTGTGCAGTTTTGTCATGTTGACATTTTGTACTCGATACCTTCCAGGTGCCACTGTGATTGATACTTAAAGTAAACAGGAACATTGTAAATGAATGTATGCTGACCAAAAATCCACTTCCAGTCTCAGCAAATATTCAGAGTAATTGCAGAATTCCCCCGCCACTCGAAAATCATCCCCTAAAATTCAACGGATACATGATGGATACCAAAGATCCTATAGCGCCACGTAACGGCGCTAGATACGGAGTGGGATTGAGTCGGGAAGGGAGACAGAGGGCGCTATTTTCCCTTTTAAAAAATATCCTCCAAGGGGATGAATCAGTACATGTATGTGTGCATGTACAATGTAAACTGAATGGGGAGGATCGGAGTCCAATGTAGCTTCCAGGAAGTGGATACCCGGATACAGGGATACATAGTGGGAAGTGCACGCGTATTGTGTGTAGCTGGCCGAAGCTGAGGGTGTTTATTGTGGGAAAACATCTTTGACATCGTATCTGAGTATCAGGATACGAGGCGGATAGTCGAGTGGCGGGGTATTCTGCAATTGTGCTAAATATTCCAATTTTAATTGTGTTCTTAGTAAGTCGAATAGTCGATGGGGGCTATTTTTGCACAAAAAAAACCCTTATCATTCAGTACTCTCATTGGATACAGGGAACATGACTGAAATGGTGGTAGCTATCAGACGATCGTGCTGAGCTATCGGCTGATTGTGTCGCCATCTGTTGATTGCGCTGACGTCAGTCAATCACATTTCCTTTTTGATTCACGACTCTGGAGGATTCTTTTTTTAAAAAGGAAGTCAAGTTGATGATAGTGCATACATTATGTATGCATGTCAACCCTGACTTACCTCCCACAGCATACGTGGTGCTGTGATCCGTTGTCATGTAGGACATAATCTCCCCGTCGGGATTTCGTTTGACGCGCGAGGACAAGCTGTTCTTGCGGCCGCCCATAGGTTTCACAGAGTGAGTGCGCTGATGGGACGACGGGGTCTCATCAGCCTTGCTGGAGTCCACCGAGCGCTTGCGGCGCGGGTGGTGGTGGGTGTGGGGGTGGGCGTGGCCACCGCCCTCCTCTCCGCCTTCTCGTTTCTCCCCCATGACAGAATTACTGCTGAAATGCTGAAAATGAAAACAAAACAATCAAGTGCAGCACCTGTATCACACTCTTTATTGGCTTTACTATAACTTTACCGCTGGTTGCAAATACGCAAGAAAACGTCGATAACGTGAAAGTTGGGGTGTGATGTCGATAATTCACGCTGTCGATTTTCCCATCTCCTGAATACGAAGTCACAACGACAATGCTGGCCCCCAATACTTGCACTTGTACGCATGCACATACTATCATTTCGCTTGTACCGTACCCCCCGCGGCGCGCTCCAAGCGAACCGAAAAATCATCGCTGGATCATATGCATGCACGTTTCAAGTGTCAGGTTGGCTCAGTGCAGAAAGGGCATATTTTTCATCATTTTAGCCAAAAAAACCGACAAAATCCAGCGATGCTTGTTCTGCGCATATTACATGAGTATGTTATGAGATGTAGTATGAAGTTTGGGGGCAAACTGTGCAGCGGTTCTGTGGGAAATGTCTGCATTTTGATGGACGTTTTTGTACTTAATTAGTGTTTTGTGCAGAAAACAATTTTGCGGGGTCCTTAATCTATGAGGCTCCACTACTCCTAGAACTATGAGGCTCCACTACGTGGAGCCTCTTACAAATAGTTCTAGGACTACTAGTAGTATGGAACGCCGTATTATCGCGGTACTTATCACGTTTCTCATTCGGAATAGAGATTGCCCACTAACCTTCCAGAATTGTCCTGTCTTATGTGTAGTATAACTCTTCCTTTTTATATTAATATAAAAAAATCTGACGGGTGGTGTGGTTTATTCCGTGTACGATGCCTGTGAAAATAGACATGCGCGGCGTGTGTGAACGGAGGTGGACTCCCTATTATCGCGGTATGCGGGAAGTGGTTTTTATAATGATCCCAACTTTTTTGTTCATAGTTTATCTTTGACCAAAACACCCCCTGAATAAAGTCTGATATTTTCCCTGTAACGTTCAAGTTGATTAAAGACAAAATGTCTGCAGGATGATTTCTTAAGACCCTGCCCTTCCCCCGAAAGGAGAACACAAATCCCTGAGGCAAGTCTACTGATCTGCGATTGAGGGCGCCATTCACTTTACACGGTGTGCCGTTTTATTTTCGCTAAAGCGCGGTGCTTATTTTGATCCCGTAAAAGTTGTTACGATTTCGCGCTGCAAATATCGTCATTCGACTTCATTTTACATTTGCAGCTGAAGAATGGGAACCAGACAATGGAACTTTCATGGACAGAGCGCATTTAAAGAGTTATGTTAAAATATAAACGGTACCTTTTAGCAGACACGGTGAGGGAAAATTTTGCAAGTTTTGGAAAACGTTAATATTTATTAAAATCGTTAAAAGTCCCGAAAGACACAACATTTTTTAATCATTCTTTTTATACAACTCGGTAGAAAATCCTTGATGACTGGTGAACTGGATAAAAATCGCCACTTGAAGGAGTTTTGACACTGTAAAAAGAGAAATTTCCCATGCCGCGATAATAGGGATGCCGCGATAATAGGGAGTCCGACTATACATATACAGTCATGACAGTGGGCTTTTCACGGAGGAAGGAACATTAATGGCAAGGGGCCTACCCATATGCCTACGTACATTGTACACAGTCATGTACAATAATACATTGTACATGTAGCCTCCTCGTACATGTGGTGGGCCACAACATGAACATGATCGTACACACACCCGTCAGTACACACGCAAATTTACATGTACGCATGTAGTGATGTACAATGTACATGATGTACATGTACATGATGTAGGCCTACATGTACATGAGTAGGCCTATCACCCCTGCCTATGCCTACTGTCCTGTCGAATGTCGGACACTTCGCCCCATTTCCACGTCGCCCCATGTCACTTCGCCCCTAACCACTTCGCCCAATCCCCACTTCGCCCCATTCCCACATCGCCCCATCCCCACTTCGCCCCATTTCCACTTCGCCCCATTCCCACTTCGCCCCATCCCCACTTTGCCCCATCCCCACTTCGCCCCAGCCGTTACATGTAAAAAAAATTCTCATCTATTTTTTTGGCTTAAAAAACAATTTCAACAGATTCACTAATTGCTAACCAACGGAAAGAATTAGCCCATCACCAAATGAACAATTCATAACCAACCTTTCAAGCTAGGCTCTCCCCTACCAAGAAAAAAGCTTGAAGTAAAAGATCCAACTTTGTTCCCAACCCGGCTATACCAACCCGACTCCCACTTATCTGAGAACGACAATACCTTTGACATCCTAATTTCACTCTTGGAGGAACCAATCTCATCTAAATGAAGTTGTAAGTGTCGCATATCAGACAAATTTTGACGGAACATTTTCCTCAAGGCAGTGAGTTCCTTTTAACTCACTGACCCATACCTACGGATTCTTTTGAATCCAGCCGCTTCCAGCGGCTGATGATTCACAAGCCAATAGGAGAGGCGTCTCTGAATGGGATAGAGCCATCATTTCTCTCATCTGTGTCTCGAGCACCTCATCAGAGAGTTTGTATTTTTCCTAAGTTTCTAGAATTGGGAGCATTTATTATCTGGGGTCTTTGGCAGTTTATTTGGTCTGCACCCCTAGCCTTCACCTTTTTCATACTACATGGGGCGAAGTGGGGATGGGGCGAAGTGGGGATGGGGCGAAGCGGGGATGGGGCGAAGTGGGGATGGGGCGAAGCGGAGATGGGGCGATGTGGGGATGGGGCGAAGTGGGGATGGGGCGAAGTGGTTAGGGGCGAAGTGACATGGGGCGACGTGGAAATGGGGCGAAGCGTCCGACACCCGTCCTGTCTATGACTATGTAAACAGACGCGACCCTAATTTTACACAAAGACTACAGAATTTTTCAAGCAATTTATGAGACTTTAAAGGATAATTCGTAAAAAACACTTACTCTTTGCAATGCTATCTTATCGAACAATCATTCTTACATCTACTTTCTCCTTACGATCCCAAATTCTGAGAGAAAACGGCGAATTTTCACCTCATCTACATCGATCAGTTTGATGCTCGAATTTGATATCATTTCCGACAATCACAATGAACGCAAGAGGGCGCTATTTCAGAAGATGTAACGTGTAATGCACGTGGCGCCTTCAACCATTATACTATAGCTGCACTTGCAAGGAAGAAATTTAAAAAAGGGGAAAAAATATATCTCTTGTACGTGGTTATTACAATTATAAATTATTAAAAAATACAATTATAATTAACATTTACGGATTTGTGAATGCTGCGTACCCTGAGCTCTCTTTTTCTCCAAACGAAGTTTAACCATTCCTTGCTCTATGGTTTAACGAACGAATTTTCAATTTGAATGCTTTGTTTCAAAGGAAAAAACCTACTTTATTGCGATTTTGGGTGTCTGCAAGCCTCCAAAAAGGACTTTCATTTTGCGCACAAATGAACCCGCCCTGCGAAGTACTGTTGACTGTCAGTCAATAATTCGAATATTGGGAAGATACTACACATCGGTTGTCGTTCAATGTAAAGTGAATAACTATTGCTATATAGGCAAATAGCAATTGAAAAAAAAAACTGTTTCTGAGAGGAAGTTCCAAAACTGAAATAGCACGGGAATGCATCTCTAAAAAGAAAGAAATGAAAAAGGCTGGCTGGGGTGCTCAGCCCCCCCCCCCCTGAAAATTTGGTTCTGGATCCGCCCTTTCTTTGTGATAACGGAATCATTCGGGACGGACATCCAGTCGTCTAAAAGAAGAGAACCGCCATGAACACGAGTTACCGTTCAATGCCACGCAATTAATATTGGTCTGTCTAATTATTCAAACAAGCTTTATGTTATGTTGATAACTTGAGTTTCGTTAAGATACTTTAATTAAACAAAACACGAAGACACAGTCCAGTGGCGTATATCCGGGGAAGGGGGGGGGGGGGGGGAGGGGCAGACCTCCCTCCTGGCGGAATTTTTGGAAAGATATTTTTTCAGTAACTATTTCCATATAAATGGTTAGAGAGTTCCTGGACATAAAAAAGAAAAGAAAAATAAGCTCCAAAACCATTAGAATGCACCGTTTATTTTCCAGTATGCATAATAATGGTCAGTTTTGAGGATTAAGAGCGCCCCCATTTGGACGATGGGTACAAGAGTCCCCCCGGCTCTTTGATTTTACGGATGCCAAGCGTCCGGAGAAAAAAAAAAATGTCCACATTTCGGCGCGGAAGTGCGGTTCCCCCCGGACGGGTGTTAGTATGAACATACGCTTGGTCAACCCGTGTTCGAAAGGACGTGGCCCCGATCTTGTTCACGGTGAACCCCCGTGCTAAATTCAACGCTGGTAGGCGAGACGATAGCGTGAAAAGACACTTCGCAAAGGTGCAAAGGCTTTTGATTTGTTTTACTGTAAGACCTTCTTTAACACTTAGATTGGAACTGTTAGGTTTAACTGTAAGGTCATTTTACCACTCATTATATGATATCTTAATTGGTTTGAATTCGGATATTGCAAGGCGGTGTTATGGGACTTTCATGCACGACCACCCTCACCTTACCGAATATGACAGTATTTCAGTTGCCCTTCACACCATCTTGTCACAGCTAAATTCATGCATGAGACAGACACTATACTGGGTACAACAGCTGCTCTCCACTAGCTGGCAACTATATTATGCTGAAAAAAAGTGCAAATGGAGAGGTCTTCGGAATAATGAAACTCCCCAAAAACATTCATGGGGAGTGAAAAGAGTAGGTTTTTTTCTGAGCCTCAGGGGAACAAGAGGCGTTAAATCGACGTTTCGGTGCATATTCAAGTAAAAAAAAAAGGAAACCCAAATGTCGGGACCATTGTTTTTAGTGAAGTTCTGATGCAGCACTTTCAAAATCTAGGATATGAAAGCCCAATGAATAAGGCCCCAAAAAGTCTCCGGTTTCTAGTATGGAGCTTGTCCAAAAAGTGGTGCGGCGACGCGGCTTTTTTTTTTTTTTACCTGACTTTTTTGCTTCAAATGTCGACTGATGACTGCAAATGGCGCCCGACTAAACTTAGTGCAAATATATGGGAGTCCAGAGAGGCCACATAAAGCTTATTCTCGATCATAACCCCATCTAAAAACACGTTAAAATTGTGCAGCAGCAGGATTCCAGTCAAACCAGTGAGTTTGGCGGTTTTGAGACATCATCTTTCATTGAAAAAAAAATTTTCATTTTGCCGACGCGCATGGCTACGGCGACGCGCGCGCATACCAGAAACCGGAGACTTTTTTTTGGCCTAAGCTTTCTTTTTAGTACAAACATCATTCGAATCACTCATGCACTTTTCAAATAACGGAATTTTAAACACACCGTTTTTAAAGTTCTGTCCACGGATCTGTATCACAAAATTAAAGATAATTTCAGCAAAATGCCAACTCACATACATCCGTATGTGAAGTGTTTTCGTTTTGCTGAAAGAACACTCGGTTTTTTTGTGATCCGTGGACAGAACTTTCAAACGGTGTTTGTGTTCAAAATTCCGTAACTTGAAAAGTGATTGATTTGAATGATTCTTGTACTAAAATAAAGCTTATTAATGGTCTTTCATATCCTACATTTTGAAGTGTTAGGGGCCTACATGCAGAACTTCATTAAAGTAATTGGTCCTGTCATTTGGGTTTCCTTTTTTTGGACTCACCCGTACTCTTTCTCGTATTATTTCTCCACATTTTACATGTATATAAGGAACAAACTACCTGTAAACCACTAATACAATTATAATTATGGAGAAACAACTTGAGAAACGGGTGGACGTTTGCCTGTTGGCAAACAGGAGAGGCATTATGAAGTACGCCACATGTTAATTAGGTGACATGTGGTTTAAACAGTGTACGCCCTATTCGGTCCTTGCCGACTTTGTACTTCGCAATCTTCATGCGTGCCTACACTTGCGCAAGGTGACTATACCATGGAGCTATATGTTATAGCACAGAGTTTAGCTCATTCCGATTCGTCAGACGCCCTTCGAAGGGTGCTAGCCACAGACCGTTTACCCAGTCCTAATTTCACAGGTCATTTCGCCAGACGATTACGGATGATACGACGTGCATATCAATGACCGTCAAGGCGAACCCGTAAATGCCATTTCAGAGAAGGCGGTACAGCTGCATATTGAGCAAGTGTACTGTGTGAAGAATTAAATAAAGCAGGGACACCGATGTTAAAACAACACCAAACGCCGAATATTGGTTTGAGCCAGGAATGATATAATTTGTGTCAAGCGAGGGCGCTTCGCGTTTGCATGTGCTCAGTGCTTTAAAGTTTTAGCATCCCTGGGTTTCATTCATATTCCTTTACGTGCCAGCTTTTAAAACAATCTATACATGTATTTAATTAGAACGGCGCGAGCGTCTAGAGCAGAAAAGGGAAGCCTCACTTGTTTTCCCGTGGTGATGATGTGCGGCAGAGTTTGAGCATTAACTGATACAACGCAAGAGTGAGTGCCATGTAAACGCATGATTATACGCCAGCCAGCTTATGATCCCTCATGAAGTGAACATTTCTTAGGAACATTTTGTGCGCTACTTGCTAATCCTCTTAAGTGAATGAAAACTAATTGATATTCCTTTTTGGTTAACTTTGTTGAAAAGTGCACTTCTTAAAACATTTTTGTCCATGCTTTTTCGGGAAACTGAGGGTGCTGTTGTCGTGATGTCATTTCAAGGAGACACTATTCATAATCTGTTGAAATAGTGAACCCCCCCCCCCCAAACAAAATGCTCATTGAAAACATTTGTGAGAATGAACTGCCATGATCGTGAACTGACACAACAGCGAATCACTAATGAAAAGCAGGTTGACGACTCCAGCGAAATATCAAAAATTTTGGCAACTCTTTGTGCATATAAACTAATTGCAACATTGCGGTTTCTGCCTGATATGACATCACACTTTTGCTCATGAATATGGAAATTTTCCGGTGCAATGTGCCGTGACAAACTGCATTTTCCCATATACATCGTGTACACAGAGCCAAATTACAATTCGTACACATGAATAATTAATTAGCCATAATTCCAAAACCCTTTGACCTATATAGTCATGAAATTTCTTGGGTATGTTTATGATGAGTTGCTCTATGCATGTACCAAGTTTCATGGGGGAATCCACCCCCTGGCTGAGAGATGGTCAAAATAACCGGGACCTTTTAGGGTTAAACAACAACGGCTATCTTGCGCAAATGGTTTAGCTTCAAGAAACCTCTTCCCGTTGAGTAGTACACACTACTTTTGTCTCGAGTTTGAAATTTGGAGCAAAAAATTGGATGAATAATCCAAAAGAGAGACTGGAGTCAAGTCATGGCCGCGGCACAAGCAGACATGAATGTCGTCATGTTAACGCAATTCTCATGCATGTTTTATCGGTCCTCTGTGGCCACTGTCGCCAAGCATGCCGCTGGGGAATTCACACACGTTCGCACGCTGCGCAAACAACTTGCAACACGGTATTAAAATTTCAAGAAGTCTAAAGGTTTTCACTTTAGAAAGCCTGCAAGCAAGACATTGGGACTTTTCAGCATGCACACTGGCATTGTTATGGACGCTGGCTATGTTCTGCTTCCGTTTTATTTTCCGCCAACAATGCAGGTGTATTGTGATTGCCAGCTTAAAGCCCGGTTCGTACTTCACGCGAAATCATGTGCGAAGCGAAATTCATGTCGTCAACAATGGTGGACGCGCTTCGAACGTATTGTTGACGTCACGAATTTCGCTTCGCTTTCGCTTTCGCGTGAACTTTAAACCGGGCTTAAATCTGCTAACTTAATAAAAGCAGGTAAACGACTCCCCTCCAATTAAAGTATATTTTGTCTGACCCATAATATTCATGAGGCTTTGTATATAGCGTAACAGCCGTCTTTATTGGACCCTATACCTACAACACCCGGAAAAATCAATCAGTAACTACATGTACTAGATTTCTGCATGGTGATATAGGCCTATGGCAGCAAGAATGCAGTCTAGTACCACTAGCATGATTGATTCTTTCGATCTAATAAAACCAGCAATTATGCTTCTCAGTTGGGGGAAACTGGTGGTAAAATAAGAGCAATATCGTATAAATGCCCTCAATAGTGTCGGACTAGGGAAACATGATATGAAAACAGCAATCAAAACACGTGTTGTTGAACTCCTAAAAAAGTTTTATTAATTAACCAAAGCAATTTTGAAACCAGAAAACTTTCTCTAGAAAGGAGAGGACTCCCTTCACACGTTTACTCCTGATATTCCACGCTAGTTAGTCTGTTTGGAAAACAAAATAACATCTTTAATTCAGCTGAATTTTGTCGGCTACAGCCTAACCAGCTTTAATTTTGGCTATTTTGGCCGCCCATACCGTACTGGCACAGAAGGCTGTTGTTTGCAACAGAGGGTTTATACCAGATATCCAGTTTTAATGAGGAAAGGACAACTGACTAAACAGAACAAGTTTTGTGACGTCACCAAAAATCTGAAACAGTTGAATCTTTGTTGATATTTACCTCCTTTTAAATTAACAAAAAGCTGTAGGCATAAATATACTGTATTATTTCTTAGTAATTACATTGATCTTACACAGTGAAACTGATAACACGGATACCAGGGGTCTGAGTATACAATGTCCTTTGTAGTGATAGGCTATACACTCTGACTTCAGTGGTATTCGAATTGCATGGAAATCGATCGCTATTGAAACAACCAGTGCGCCAGGCTGCGTATTTATTTTCAAGGGATGATTTACGCTTCTGGCGCTAGAATAACAGATGATCTATACGATGGATTTCATCAAAGCACAAAGGAATTTACTGGCCCATCACCGAACAGTGTAGAGATGTTGATGGTGGCTTAGTGAACTCCAACAAGGCACGCGCAGCCGGCGTAATTTTTTTCCTAGGAGGGTTAGGGCTTAGGGGCAATGTCATGAATAATTCAGTTTTTCCTTTGAATCATTGCAAGACTTAGGTTCTCGTTTTATTTTCCCCTTAATTTAAAATTATCTCAGTGATAAATTTGGAGAAGAAAAATAGCTGACGAAAATGAGCAGCGACGACGTGGATTCGAACCAGGGATCTTTGTATCCATAAGCTCATCTCGCTATCCACTAGGCTACTGTGTGGTAGCTCGACGACAACCGTTCTTTAAAATGCTATAATGTATTGTAATTAGTTGAGTAACTAACAACAATGCTGTTGATGTCATTGTCCGTTCTCATGGATAAACATGAATTATTCATGACATTGCCCCTAACCCTCCTAGGAATAAAAATTACGCCGCCCGTTTGTGCTCCAAAAACCGAGCACGAGAAAGAACTCGCAGATCACAATGACCCGCACTCGGAGTTCAATCAAATATATTGCTGCAGTCCGAAATTCCCTTGCTGAAACCTGATGTAGTTTTCATCTTGTGTGCTTGGGGGATAGGCTGCCAGTTCAATAGCGTGTTCTATTTATTCCGATGTGATTTCACGAATTCACGCATATAGCTCCATGGTTTATTTGGGATTTCAATTGGAACTTCCTACTCATTAACCATTTACAGTTTGTAGGTTGGGTAAATGCATAACTGGGAAGTTCCAATTGCTGCGATAGTGTACAAACAGCACGGATGTACCCTTTCAACATGCCTTCAACTTGAACTGTTACGTTATGCTTTTGCTTTAACACAAGCTTGCTCTGTGGTTGGTTGAAGTCTCAAATTATGACCCCACGCGATAAAGGTTACCTTCAACATAATGTGCATGGACCAATCTAAAGGCAAATGATCATTTGGGCAATTCCACGGTTACTCACGTTACATTTTTGATGTACTTTTGAGATTCCTTGGGCTGTAATTACCTTACTGAAAAGGTTTAATAACTGTTATCCCCATGGTATAGATAGAGTAGACCTAGACCTACCTAAGCACCAAAGATGACATCCAGAAAAATATGTTATGTATGATAAACAAGACGCACAAAATCGGTTACTGCATGTCCGAAAATGTAACGTGAGTAACCGATTTTGTGCGTCCCGTTTATCATACACAACACATTTTTCTGGATGTCATCTTTGGTGCTTAGGTAGGTCTAACTCTACTCTATTCACCACGGGGATAACAGTTATTAAACCTTTTCAGTAAGGTAATTACAGCCCAAGGAAACTCAAAAGTACATCAAAAATGTAACGTGAGTAACCGTGGAATTGCCCATTTGCATTTATCCCATATAGTAACCTGCTGAATGATTAATTTGGATTAAAGATCGTACTGGTACTAAACACCCCGTGCAATTATTCCGTCTGGCTTGCTGTCATTTAGAAGGAATCAATAAATGTAGGTGAATTCCAACGATCAGTCAATATTATTGACTGATTTTTTTTCTACATGCATATGGAAGAATTGTGTTTCGTAATCAAAAGGTTGTGCATAATGTGTTTTTTCCACAGTTTTCTCGAAAGTGTAATATCCACTCGGAGCTGAAACTTCAACAAGTTAGCATTTTTGATCGTAAACTGCCAATAATGTACGTGCAATAGGATTGCGGTTCCGATTCCGGATTTAAATACAAGTCCATGTTTCCTATGACACCAGATTCATCATGTCAGCCATTCCTTGTATTCCTCTGGGTGAGTTTAAACACCCTATAATATTTAGCATCCCAAGCCCTGCTGCTATACGGCGGGATGGTTCATCAATTATTCATCACTCGACACCTGTGTATTGTACCTGCGTAGGTAGGACTAGACCACCTCAACAATCCCCGCGAGGTACAATTATCAATACATGTACACACCTCCCGCAAAAGGGTACCACGTTACCAGGAAGACGTGTTACGTAAGACGTCGGGCGCGTGGAAACATAACTTCCTGTAGTTTAAAAATAAATACATGTTCAGTCGAGTCTCGTTATAACAAACTAGTACAGACCTAGCCAAATTGTTTGTTATATCAGAATTTTGTATTAAGAGGAACATCAGTCCCATTCATTGTGCACATAAATGCACAGTCGGGACTCGGGAGCAAGGCTTTATGTTTGTTATAACCAGAATTTTGTATTAACAGAGTTTGTACTAACGAGAGTCGACTGTACATGCACTTTTTCAATGGAACATACATGTAATTTCATCACGCCGAAATCTCCATTGCACAGGACACAAATGACATTCCCTGTAAGCGTGTTATATTGGAATATCCCTGACATGATTATTCAAAACAAGGGTCACTGTCTGAGGTACAAACACAACAAAACACACTTAATATTTAAAATCATATAGGCCTACTTTATTTAAAATTATATTGGTACTAAAGCAATCGTTACACTTTGGACTTGGTTTAAAAGCATGCGATCGCATGAATTCGCATGAAATGAAAAACATGTACATGTAGTAACCACAGCATCGGGTTTTGGCAAAAGAAACAATAAAACAAACGACAATAACTAGAACTAATTAACTAATATCCACATCATCATGATTGATTTTTTAAGGGTTTCTCTGTACGGAACATGTAGGCCTATTAATAAAAACATATCAATATTGCTGATATTTTTCCTGCCTATCACTTCCATATACATGTATACATACTTGCAACAACAGATGGTGCACACAAACAAGATACATGTATTGTCATCCCAACTTACATTTTTAATGGGAGGAAAAGTTAAAACATGTCCACTGTCTTTGGTTGGATTTACTCTCTTCATTTAATAATAAATTTCAAATTTAAAAAGGTGATTTTTATGAACAATTAAAAAAAATCATAACAGTTTGTTCAAACTAAGCATTCTTGTCGGATGATTTATTTATGTATTCATATATTTTTAAAATCACAGCGACCTAGAAACATTCGTCCAATACATACTTATGAGCAATTCCGTAAATTTGGACGTACAAGTCATGTCAGACAGTTGAATGAGCTTCTGTTGGTTATGTGAATGTGATACTTTATGTGACATCTTACGAAGCGAAAGCAATTCCAGGTGAGACAAAATGTACTACGACCTTGTAAAATCATGTGATCCGGCGAAGAAAAAGAGCCGGAATTCACGGAGTGGCCCATATTCAGCCATTTCGGACATACGTTACAAAATGATTGATGTTAAGAAAATACCACGGTGTAGAAAATATAACCATAGTCACATGTATATAGGCACTGAGAATTACTTTCATTACGTTAGAACTTCTCCTCCCCTTAACACAACAATATGACATAACAACATAACAGTAACAACAAAAAATAATAATAGAAATAGAAATCAAATTAAACATCGCCTAAACCGACTTTCCTACTTAAATTTTTAAAAGTTATTATAAAATGGATAAGTCAGATCGCAATTGGGGCAGTCAAAACCCTGATTGTCAAGTGTCCGGAAACGCTAAGATCTCGCACGAAACTGTAATACTTCACGCACGACTACTTTACATATAAAATATAAAAATAAATAGCACAGGACGTGAGAGAATATCATTATTACTTACGAGCACACTAAATGGCACACCTGATCACAATTGAATCAAGAACCTAATAAAAACGAAACAGCTGTAATGAAAGTGAAATTTGAATGACAATGGGCTTTACCAGCTGGAGTAAATGTTAACCAGGAGATGTTATACACTGTTTGGCAACAGCTGGTCAAGCAGTCACGCAGCTGTAGCTGAATGACACCAAGGATGACTGCCTTTGTAAATGAACATCCACGCGCTGACAGGTGTCCACCTGCTGTCATTCAGGCATTTGTCGTCTATTAATTGTTCTCTGTGTCTCGCCTAACCAATCGACCCACAAACATGTTGGCTTCAGGCAGGTCAAGCATATTAATTTTCCACTGACTAGACCTTGGAGTCATACTGAATGACAGTAGATATTCCGACTTAAAAGTCGCTTTTAATACCGAATTCAAATCTAAGGCAGGATTTGATTCGGCACGCCGGTGTAAACCAATAATCTGAACCATTGTCATAAATTTTTAATACCCCAACTGACGCAAAATGATATGGTCAGGGCCTGCATTAAGTAAAGCGGGGTGCCATGTTTGCTGTAAAAAAAAACATGTCCTTGGTAAATTTGATATAGCTGTTACAGAGAATACACAACATTTGCAAACATAAAAACTACCCAATTACTATGAAATACCTCACTGGACTTTTAGTGGATGACAGTCTAATCCTGTAAAATTATGGTACCTGGTGTCCTGTCATTTTCCAGAAAAGTGGTATTTTTGTATCTATTTCCAACGCTGGTCGGCCAACCAGCGTTGGACAAAAACCTGGCTTTTTTCAAATACTGCCCCCAATTTACCATATACATGTACACCATTTTGGTTGCAATCGATTACACAATGAACGGGTACATGCCAGGTAGACTGGTTCCCTGAACTTACAATTTCCCGACGTCTACAAATCTTAAGTTGGTCAGGGATCCAGACTACAGGAACATGATTGTTTTTCTTAGTTTTTCCAGCATCTACGAACACAAAACTTCAAACAAGTCAGTGTAACAATATTGACTATAAAATACTAAACCCCCGAAACCATCTATTTCTGAAAATAACAGCAGAAGCAAATGCTGTATATTCCCTTTAAGAGATGAACTTTTAACACAAAACGTATGAGATTGATCAACTGGTGTTAGCACATCCACCATGCAAATATCAAATTTGGCAAACATGTTCATGTATTAGAAAACTGGTCTCTCATTTCTATGCAAGGGCTAAGCACAGATACGCAGGTGCTGAGAGTACGGGCCTTATTCACGAGTCAGCTATATTGAATTGAAAATGAGATAAAATCTTAATTTTTGAAACTTGTGAAGAGAAACGAAAGTGAGTTAGTTTTTAATTTAATTACTTCCAGTCTGCTTCAACGAGTAATTTAAAATGTGTAATTAAAAATAAGGCTGCATTGTGCCTACATAAATAGTCTGAGCCATTCCATTCAACAGTAAACAGTTTATGAAATGCGCGCAGGGAACTCGACACAAATGGCCAACTCGTGAATAAGGCACACAGCGGTAACTTCAATTATTGTCCGATCCAAGGATATCCGGACAGTAGCGTGGACATCCTTCGGGAAATAACTCGAGCGGTATAGCAAACGAACACCTACTAAAAGTAAAATCGATTAAGCTGCAGTTGGAACAAGGTCAAAATATGGGGCAGTAATTAGTACCGAGTTCGGGATTTTCTATAAATCCATCCATGTCCAGCGCATTTACTGAACTTTAATCAGTATTTATCAAAAGAAGTTCGTAAAAACGGCCACAAACTTGCAATAAAAACGCCAGACGAGACATATTTAAGGCATATCAATAAATAGGAGAGTACCATTTTGAATCCAGCAAGTTTTCCTTAAATCGTGAATGCTACAGTTCCCTTCTCATCTCTGCTATAGAGGCACGTCATTTAACTTTCGGACGTACCTCCAAACCTTGACAATATTCACCTTGTTTCTGTCTTTGTCCTCTCCTAAATGAAACGTAATGCTTCCACTTATTTTTCTGAGCGTGTCCTGCTCATTGGTGTAGTTGAGGTAAGTGTCGTACATGCCGTTGTATTTGGGCTCCACATTGATCTTCTTCATGATGATACCAACGAAGGCATCCTCCCAGGGCAGGAACTGCGTGGTAAAGGACGCCTGGTAGATACGCGGAGCTAAATCGGCGGAAATAAGGTAGGCTGGGCCGTTCAAGTACGGTGGGTAGGAGTTTTCCGGATACACGTCTTTGGACGTGTACCATTTGCTCTGTTTGTACCGGATGGGTTTCGTCACATCCTTCCGATTCCCCTCGGCTACACTGCCGGAAGGCGATTTCTCGATGCGGTCGACGAGATTGTACACATTGACGAACATGTCTATGTCCATTTTCACGATGAAGCGGGCGTTGGAGCAGTAATGGGAGGCCCACTTGAGACCCATGATGGTCTTGATTGTCAGGTTGTAGTAGGAGTCGGTAAAGTCCTCCTGGATAATGTCGTGGTAGAGGTTGTTCTCAAGCTCAATCAGTTGTTGGATTTCAAGGTTCCTCTGTCCCAGCAGGAACATGGTGACGATTCGCTTGCCCTTGACCTCCTTGGCACTAGCCCAGGTTTTCCGGATCAATGATCGCATGTAGCTGTCAGAAGGAGCCGTGTAGACAAGGCACAAGACGTCCACGTAGCCGTCTGGGTTGGCGCCTTTCACGCACGCGTCAGAATTTTTCATCATGAAGTTGTAGGGGTGGGGATTGATGACTTTCTCTGAGGGCGAGGGTTCCAGAGAACGTTGTTGCTGCTGTTGAATGCTCCTAGCTAGTTCCTGTGCAGTCCTCTGAAGTTGCTGCTGCTGCTGCTGCTGCTGCTGTTGCTGTTGCTGCTGTTGCTGCTGATACTGTTGGTCTGCCTCGTTCTGTTGAACCGATCGTGGTAGGTGCTGTTGTATGGCCTGCTGTGGCTGTTGTATGGCCTGCTGTGGCTGTTGTATGGCCTGTTGTGGCTGTCCTTGTGCATCCTCTTGCTGTTGACGCTGTTCGTGCTGTTGCTGCGTTTCCTGTTGTCGCTGCCGAGTTTCTAGTTGTTGATGTTGTGTTTCCTTCTGTTGCTGCTGCTGTTGATATGGTGCTTCCTCTTGCCGTTGTTGCGGCTGCTGTTGTGTATCCTGCAGCTGCCGCCCCTGTGGCTGCTCCACTGGTTTTTGTTCCACATGGTGAGTCCTTTCGTTCGTCGTTGCATCAGAGTGTTTTCTCAATTCATCTGTTTCGGAAACCACTTCGGGCTTTTTGAGTGGAGCGTCTGCCTTTTTGGAGTCACTCGGGGCACTCGTATTGCCGTCCTTGCAGTAATTCAACCACTTGACCACGGTCCGCGTCTTGACTTTGGTTGAGCTGCTCGCTGAGTCCTGCACGGCTGGGGTCCTGTTGGCAGCCACGGCGACGGCACATGGGCATTCGCCATCTTTGAGGATCTGGTGGGTGAAATTCACCCGGGTGTCCAAGACCCAGAGCATGGTGGCTGCCCACAGCACGAACAGGGCTGCTGCAATCTTCACCGATCGCTTCGTAATCATCTTGGAGTGGCTTCAGGTGGTCAGCTCCAGATCCTGCATTTGCCAGATCAAAATAAAAACAAAATTATGTCAGAGAGAGACCACACATTGGTTACATTCCTGTGACCGTGCTGGCAGGACCATGCAAAAGAACTTGAAACACATTTTGTTTGCGCCAGTCAGTCGGGTGCGTATCATGCAAATGCAGAACTGGGTATCATTCACTATCAGGGGTCAAGGTAAACGACCAGACTGCTTCTACATTTTCAGGATCCAGAGTTCAATGACTTTTCGGCCACCGTGTCTCTGCCCGTCGTGGCGGGATCCCAATTTGCATGTGTCGGATCTTTATTCGTAAAGCGAATCGAGTCGCTTACAGTCGCCTCAAAAGAAAAGTGCAGTTGACTCGAATGAAAGCGACCGGGAGGGGGGGGGGCAAGAAACCAAAACACGGCACTGCACCTTGTGTTATATTACTTCCCGATGAAATGGAACGATATAGGTGAAGTGTGCACGTACTAAATTGTAAACACTATGTTTAATCCTAATGCATATATTAAGGTACAAGTACAAAGTTCGCACATACGAACTTCAGGCATTTGGGATCGGCTAACGGTTTTCGATTTGCTCTTACGTCACAAACACTGCCAAAGAAGATCGAGGACTATAGAACTGACGACTACCTGTATGAATCAACGGATCATTGTACCAAAAAATTTAGTACAAAAAGACAAGCTCGCCAGATCAATAAGCGAGTTTTGGTGAGCGTATTGGTTATATGCGAATGTTTGGGCGGGACAACCTTCTTCAAAAGGCTATCGATCGTCGGGTTTAGAGAGAGCCAGTAAAGCATTCATGAGTGGGTAAAGCATTCATGCAGAGAGAATGGGGGAAGAAAATCCCCACACAATGAGAGGGATAATTTCCACCCAAACCTACTGACACGAAGGTCAGAGAACAACCATACCAATAATGCAAGCTATCCGTGACCTCGCGCAGTTATTTTCAGAAACCGGAGCAATGGGTCATCAACACGGATAAATTCATTTCAGTGAAAAATGGATCCATTATACTTTCTTTTATGTCGTGACTTTTTGGTTATTTGATATTATGTCGAGTTTCAAGCCATTATGAGTCCAACTTTTTTTATGTACCAAGACAAAGTCCCGGGTACATTCTGGCATCAAATTGCACCCCATAATCATGAAAGATGCAGGAATACAAGTCTAGCATCCTCTTCATTCTGTCGATCTGTATCGACAGCTACGCCACAATTATTTGACTCGTACCTTGACAGGATTTGACGTACATGTATAAACGATCCCAAGGCAGGCTCCGTTTATACGAATCTGTTGACACGCGTGCATAATTCATAAGTGAGTCACACGGGCTGGAACGTCAAATGCAGTGAATCCACTGTCTTTAAAAATAAGGCATTTTTTGTATGTCACACTTATTGCTTGAGACCTTATTAGTTACACGATCTCGTTTTTCCCTGAAAAAAAAAAATTAGATGATGTATTTTACGATCATGCCATATCTTAGTCATCTCGATCCGTCACAAACTCAAAACAATACAGATATATTTTATTTCTTCGGGTTTGTAAAGGAATCATTAGGAATGTCCACATTGATATGTAGGCCTATGGCGTTTTTGTGTGTATACATTTCAACCATGTTGAAACACAGTAGGGGCGCAAGATGCCCAGAGGAAGAAAAACTATGGGGTATTTTAATAAGTCATTAGAATCCATCCCTTGTTTATCGGAGGGATTGTAAACAACTCCCTTTGTATCCTCCGCACAGTTCGTTATTCCAAAATAGTCTGGTGTACGGCAAGATGCGACGATTTTTTGTGTGTCAATATAACCGCGGCAGATAAATGACGTGGTAAGCAAATTTGCATTCTGTGCAATTTTTCGTGCAATCGAAAAAAGTTTTAACACATGACACCTACACTGAAAAATTGCCTGGGCTAATTTTACCTAAGAAAGGGTGGAACGTATTGTATAACCAAATATTTCATTTGTTTGAGTTAGAATTTCTGTAAATTTCAAACAAATCTTGCGTCATACAAGACCAAGTTAAAATTGGTCTTGTATGACCACAATTGACCGCAATGTTTCAGTGTAAATATTCTTCGCTGTCGAAAGGCTTTTGTACAAAATGTTACACTTCAGAACATGATGATCTCTTCAATTGTGATGGTACCCGCTTTGCTTTTGTACGCATACGATGACATTTTCATCCCGAAAGAAAAATCGGCAAAAGTGATGTGCAACATGCGCAGTTGGAATGCCGAATTCAATTATTAGCACACGTATTATGCAATGAAGCTCTATTTATAGACCTCCCCTTTCGACCTGGAACTTCTGCTCTAGTGCTCGCTAAATGAGGCGTAAATCTGTGATAATACACGACCTCGCAATTGCCTTGCTCGTGCTTGACTTGAGTCCAGTCAACTTAGGCAAGCCTGGGTTAATTTTAAAATATATTTTCCGTGCTTATTCTCGGGCGAATATTAATATCTATAAGCAAACAAGAATTGACAGATTTGGGGGAAAAGTTCAGTGCGACATTAGTACTAGAACAACTTCTCGTTCATAACATAATACTAAAGATCTCCTAGGGCCGAACTACATTTGAAAAGAAAAGCTCATAAGCCTAAAGATAGTCTTCATAAAGCCGTTGAAAAGAGCACCTGACGAACCATAAGAGCGAAAATGGCATTACCATTAAAGGGAAGATACAACATTTGCAAACATCAAAAAACAAAATGATCAAATTATCACGAAATACCTTACTGAATTGTTAGGGATTGACAGTCTAAAGCATCCTGTAAAATCGTGGCTCCTGGTGTGCTGACATTTTCAAGAAAAACTGTATTTTTCCAACGCTGGTCGGCCGACCAGCGTTGGAAAACACTGGCTTTTTCAAAAACTGTTCCTTTTTTTTTCATATTTAGTTATTCCGCATTTTCTTTGCAATAGATTACACACCTGTGAAGGGGTACAAACCTGCTAGAGTGATTCTTTGACCTTACAATTCCCCAAAGTCTTTACGTTTCTCCGTTGTATCTTAAGTGGGGTCAGGGAACCAGACTACAAGAAAATGATTGGTTTTCTTGGTTTTTCCAGCATAAACAAGCCCAAAACGTGAAACAAGTCAGTTGAACAATATTTGCTATAACATACTAATCCTCCAAATCCATTTATTTCTGAAAATTGCAGCAAAAGCAAATGTTGTACATTCCCTTTAAAAATACATGTTATCGCACTCTCTCTTCAAATCGTACGTTGTCAACACACAGCAGACGACAGAATGTTTAGACGCACAGCGGGGGATCGGGTGATTTACAGTGCTGATTAAACTAGGACAGAGCATCATTGGAAAAGCAGGTCTGCATCGCCTACACAAGACCATGGAGCTAGGAACTCCATGACGAGACCATTTCTCTTGGGACAAGACTCAACAGTCGCAAAGGTCACGTCATTTTGTACTTCATAAAATTAATAATTCACTCCACAAAAAATATACAGTGTTGTTTCCCTGAAAACACAGGAGACATTTGTTAATAACACATGTTCTTTTCATTCGAGCAATGGCTCGTTCCAATGCAATTCCAACATATGGCGTCCAACATATATACACTTTTGCAAGAGGCCAACTCGCTGTACATGTACATCTGAACTTCTGAAGGCAGATAACAACCGGCAAACCAAAATCAGCAGAAATTACCATTACATCCGGCAACACGCATGACAAATTTTAAACGGTATTACACCAGGTACTAGGTCTCGGATAACCTTTCAATCTTAGTACGTGCAGGTCAGTGAACGTGGCATAGATTTCGGAGCTATTGTGGAGATATTGCATGAAGACTCGATACCATATTGTTCTGTAACATATACCCTACCTGTTTTTAAATATTGAATGTTCCCAACTTCCCACTTTTCAGGGCTTTGCATGTATTCATAACTCATAAGCATATAATGTAAATGAGGGTGAAATATTTACATATTACACAGACTGGATATACTTGTTTGTCATAATCAAAAGCAGAAAGGCTTGACGTTAATGTCTTCACGGCCTGGAAATGGCTTGCACATGTACTTCACAGTATGTGCACATGACGTGGTTTCTATATAGTAAATCCACAATAAAACGTGCTTGGCCATGACCGACATGCAAGTTCGACTTCGATGTCGTGCCGTGGTGCATGGTGTATGACAGACCATAGACAGACTGCATCACACCATGGATCCCTATACATAATAATATAGTGGGGCAGACAGGGACAAAGTGGAGCAGACAGGGGAAACACTTGGGGAATCGTACCTTTCATGACACAAGCATGGATTTTGGCACACAGTCAGAGTTTTAAGAAAGATATTTGGCTAAAGGGCCATCGCAGATTTGTCCTGCTAAATGGGCCAAAAAAAATTGCTAGAATAACAAAATTGCTACCATTGCTTGTTATTCTACCTATTTTTTTTCAAAGGACACATTTCCGATGGCCCTATAGCCAAAATGTCTTTCTCATGACAAGTCGAAAGCCAGGACGACCCAGGCTCAGATGGTCGGATCGGGTGAAGACTTTAACCGGCATGTCACTCAGCAAAGCAAGCAGCATTGCTCTAAAGGGATCCCATTGGCATTCTATCGTGCGAACCACGAAGCGTCAGTTATGACGTGATCGACAACAACAACAACTCTGACTGTGTGTCAAATACCATGCTGGTATCATCATGGTGGTTTTCTATATCTGCTGACTGCCGTACTACAGATATTAATCATCGAGATGTATTTTTTATTTCAGAGTTGGACCAGATCCATCCAAACAAGACAGGTCCATTTTCTTCGCATCCCAAACCGTCTGAGGTTCCTTCTTTCTTTATAATGTAAATGTACTTCACAATTACAACCACAAGCAGTCAATGACCTGGCACTATATAAGAACTGTTTATTATTATTATTATTAGTAGGAGCATGACCGATCGCTTCAATTTACGCCTAGCATTGCTGTGTTAATCCCCATGCCGAAATTGTAAAAGCGAACACAATGATGTTATCCGGCTTTAATTAAAACTCCAAATCTGGCCGGCTAACCCGGGTAATTACTCCTGACTTATTGCTAACATACATGTACATGCATAGGAGTATTTTGACCTCCACACATTTTTTCCTCGCATGCTTGAGAATTGACCTGTCCTCTGAAAGGTCGACTCAAATTAAAAATCTCCAGACAAATTTCAATCAACGACACCGAGGGCATCGGTGCTCTTTTGGTGTTGAAGATTGAGAAGGATAATATTCACCAAGTGACGTGTAGAGGCTGTAGGCTAACAACCTCGGCTCTGCTAATTATTTTGCTTTGATCCAGCACGATCCAACAACATTTCTAGACCTGCACTTTGATTACGTTTAATACCCGTCAAGGACAGATACATTTCATTTCTGTCTGGTCTAACAAAATTAAAAAACAAACAACAGAGTTAGAAATTACTGATGACGGATATGGAACGATTTCCTGTCATGCACTTTTCCAAATTCATCGGACCAAAAAAGGATGTGTATTCATTTCACAATTGTTGGGGTGCTTGTTTCTTTGTTTTTTGATTGTTTGTTGATTTTCAAGCACCACAGTGAAAACAGAAGGACAACATTTTAAGAAAATGTTGTGGATGGCAGATACCAAGCAAAAGCTGAGGCTTGTACGAGACCTGGTTATAGGCTGCCCAACTATTGTTTAAACTTTAGTCAACATTTGCAAAGTTTGTGTACAATTTTTTTCTGGTCAAGTGTTGCGGACAGTATTGCATTGATCCCTAACCCTATAAATGAAGGATCCAACTATTATATGGAGCCTGTTGGATTGAGCAGTAAACCCCTCGTGTACATCCTGATGCAAAATGTTGGATTCAGCAGGCAACTGAACCGCATTATAACGCCATGTTGGACTCCGTTGGATTCAGCAGACAACTGAAAACAAGGCACAGTGGATTGAGCAAGAAACTCCGGTTGGACTCTGTTGGATGGATTTAACAGGGTAGTACTGGGGCCGGGTACCACGGGGTTACACACTATATAATAAACAGGGCTTGCACAATTGAAGTTCCAGTTCCACTTATACTAGGCAGGAAGGAAAGGAAGGAATAGACCTTATGGGTTGCGTGACTAGTTTAAGTTATTAATATTAACAAGTGACAACTGATTTAACCTGGCCTATATCTATAGCGATGCAAAACCATTGCCCTTTAACACCGCTATCCGCCTTCAACATTATGCGGTATTTAGAGAATGCTGAAGAAAAATGGCGCTCACACTCAGTCACAGCAGTGAAAGCGAGAACGTTTCTGGCATTATGCTTAAGATTCGAAAGTTTGACATCTCTGATACGGCACAACATCATGGAGGAATAAATAGAGAAGGTGCACCTCGGATCGGGGAAATTGGAGCCGGCCCCACAGATATTAGACTTCACTCGGAATCAATGAAATAAAGCCGAGCACATCGTCGTGCTGGCACGAAAAACATGACGAGACCACAATGTAAATGTAACACAAACTACCGTTGCTAGAGACTGTGCTTGCCAAGCATTGTACACAGGCCTTCTAGTTCTAACCACACGTTGTAGGACCTTGACTGTGCGCCACCCATGATGACTGAACTCGACCGCAGGTCCATTTAGGCAATGGCCCCCACGCAATAATGCACCGACAGTCTGTGGTAGCCGTACTGTGACAAGTCACGAAACTACAGTCTTGTTGTATGAAACTACACGTAGAGCTGTATTATGCAGCTCTATGACGTACACTGAAAAGCTTAATTTCTAGACTTCGTTTGTGCTAACCTTCAGTCTCCTGATCATGACGAACAGCGCCGCTATTCGAAACGTCCAGTTAAACCATGGAGGAAGGAATGTTGCTAGAAATGGATGGAGCTAGCATAGTTCTTCTCAGAACCACACAACTCAAAAGATATATCATTCACATGGCGTTCAAGTACAGCAAACCTCTCAATCATTGTTCACGTCCACCATGCAAACCTTTATTCCCTTTTAGGTCTCAACTAGCCTAGCCCCATAAATTTTGCCAATTTACTGGACATCTCCGTAAATAAAGGCCACACATGGAACATGTATCCGAATATAGAACGTTGTCAAGTTTTTATTTTCACACACTTTGTAGTTTATTTAAGCACACTCACCCTTTTTAAAGCGATAGAAAATTATTCCAGAAAATCTCAATTCCAACTTGAAATTACACGAAAAAGAGATGTCTGAAAAAGGGGGACAAATTTTCTATCGCTTTAATTAAAGAGGGCGAGTGTGCTTCTAAAGCAAAGTCTAAATGTGAAAATAAAACTTGTCAAAGTTCTACATCATGTACATATTGGGCATGCGCAATTGCGCATGTTCGGGTACATGTTCCAAGTGTGGCCTGTACTGGTCAATGCTGGTAGTCAAGTAAATTGGCCACATTTATGGGGCTACAACTAGTCTAGTTCTGGTTGCTCTATGCATGAACACACGTGTCCTTTCTCTGGACTATGGTTCAACTTCTACCATGGCGCTATAGAATTCTACCCACAGGTTGTAGGGCGAGTAGAATGTGCCATCATGGCCATCATGCCGCATGCACCACTGCACTCGATCGAAAGCACAGAGGGCAGAGTTGGCATATTATGGCCCCAACTATAGTTCTAGTACTAGTAGTACAAGTACATTCTAGTCATGTCTAGTCGTGTTTCTAAGCTTATTGTAAGATATCTTTACCTTAATATACGCCAGGTCTGGTCATCCAGTCAGTTTACAGGCACATTATTCCAGAACACAGATATAGCATTAATGGCCAGACTGATGTTGACGGCGTGGAATCCATGATAAACTACTTAGTCGCCGCAGAGAACAGAACAAGACATCAATAACTGACCAAGTTGCACGCACATCACACAATTCAATGCTTCCCAAGCAAGGGTCTCACTCTCCAACGACCCGGCGGTGTTGTCTCGTTTATTGCTTCTTTGTTACATCACACCAGTCGACACAATTAGTACAACACGATCAGTTCCGACAACCATGACTAAATCACTGGAGTGGCCATGGTAAAGATTGACTGCTGTGTCAGTGTGTGTATTTTTGTTCCGGATTCCACATACCGTGTGTGGAGTGCACCCACGCCAGTCTGGTTACAAAACACGCTAAACGTACGGGCTTGTGGGTGCAGTGAAAGTACATGCACTCTAAACCGTGTACATGTATCCCGATATGTCAACGCTTCTGCACTGTGTGATGGCGCATTGTGATGTGGCAAACATGCCAGGAAGACGGCTTGTGCGGTGTGTACAGATATAGATCTATTGTGCGTAGACAGTCCTGTATGAATGCTTGTTGCTAAGACTGCTAAGACCGGAGGGTCCTCAAAAGGGCTTATCATAGCGGCCGGCCCTAGGCAAATACAATGAGACACTGAATGTCCCCCATTGATGGTTGACAAGATAACGGTTACTTTCAATTGTAAAGCTTAAGTCCGAAGCGTTGGGGACATCTTAAAAACATCTTTGGAACTGTGTAAATACGATCTTAGAAGTTTGATTTGTGAAAAGGGTAGTTTGTGTCTATATCTGAGGTTAAAACAATCATATATTATTTTGTGCGTGTAAACTTTTTAGTACTTTAGGCCTATATGAACGCAATGTTCATGAGGAATCTTAAAGGTAATTAATGTACAACATTTGTCTTTCCTGTAATTTTCAAAAATGGATGAAATTGGGGGTTAGTATTTTATAGCAAATATTTTTTACACTGACCTGTTTAAAGTTTTCTGTTAATGGATCATGTGAAAAAAAATGTTGTTCTTGAAGTCTGGTTGCCTGACCTATACATCAGACCGTAACGGAGCCATTTTATTGATGTCACGTACATGGAACCAGACAAGCCGGTTTGCACCCCTTCACGTATGTGCTGCAAGCAAAATGTGGACTAGATAAATTTGGTGAATTTGGGGCATTATTTGAAGGAAAAAGGCTTGTACAAAACTTCCACTCTTCTTGTAAATGACAGCAAACTAGGCACAATTTCACAGGATGCTTGAGACTAGTATTCTTAATTTAGAGTCAAGTGAGACATTTCATGATAATTTGATAGTTCTGTTTTTTCATGTTTCCAAATGGTGTATATGTTACCTTTAAAGTTGATGTGCCTTGGCATGATACGAGTATGCACATTCATTTCTCAAGGCACAGTCGTATCTATTGAATGTCAACACTTCATAATATTTTGCATGTTGCTGGCCTGCGTCCAGACTGGTATTGTAAGCTTACTCAGCTTCTTAAGCATGTGGGCCGGACGTGTGCACTGAATATTCATGAACGACCTAATAGTCATTGCATTGACATTTAATGATGGTGATTGGTTCTCCTGTTTGCATTATTCATGTGAAGCATCAAACACATATGGTGATTGGTTCTCATGTTTACAAGCATCAAACATGATGGTGATTGGTTCTCCTGTTTTCATTTTTCATGTGAAGCATCAAACATGAAGGTGATTGGTTCTCCTGTTTGCATTATTAATGTAAATCGTCAAACTTGATGGTAATTGGTTCTCCTGTTTGCCTTATTCACGTGAAGCATGCACAACACACGATTCGGCCATGGCAAACCGACACAGCATTCGACCACCATGTATTTTAAAATTTCACCCCGTAAAACAGTTTTGCTCATAAATTGCTAGTTTCTAGAAATAAAAAAAAAATATGATTGAGAGATCGACTTATTAAATCGGCCGTCACTGTTATACTACTGGCATATTTACTTTTTTACAAATTTCGAATAGTTTGCGGCTAGACAGTATAATTATTCAGTTTAGCATGGAAGACTGATTCCTGCCCCTTTTATAATCGACAATATTGGGACAGAAACCAGTCTGAACATGAACAGCGAGATGTATTTGTGTGCAAAAGCAACCCCCAGAAGTCTTCACTTTTGTTAATACCAACGCCAATTTTATTGCGTTAAGCGTTAAAATAACACACTCTTAAGGGGTCAAAACTTGTACGGAGAAAATGCAAAAGACATTTGCTAAACAGTATGGACAGTATAGGGCCTATCCATAAATATTGTAAATAAATTTAAAAACAAAAAATAAATTGAAAAAAACCCTTGAAATCAAACGGATTTTTTTTTTTTACGACTGGATAATTACATCTCTGCGCAATGGATAAAACAAAATAATTTTAAAAAATATGGCATAGCATACTGAGTTTTTCTACTATTGGATAATTACATCTCTGCGCAATGGATAAAAAAATAATAAAAAAACCTTGAAATATGGCATATGATTTTTGTACACGATTGGATATAGTAATTAAAGTAAACGTGTAGTTGAAGACACAACATATGCCTTCGTTAAAACAAAAAGCTAGGTCATCTGGTCCCAGCTGTATGCCTCCTTGCTGAGGGCGTCGACAAAAATATCGTTATGCCTGGGCAAGTGTTAATAAAAAACGGCATGCACGCAGCTGTATTATTACAAGCGTTTAATATATGCAGCATCTTATTAAACCATTCCTTCATCCACATACTTAAACCACCATGGAAATTATCAACTAGAAAATCCTAGGGAAAAAATAAGGCAGGCATTCCGTCGCTCAATTGAGGATAAGTAACTTAACTTTGCGAATCCACATTACAAAATACATGTACAATGTAACGGTAGATCGCCGGTTGAGGGTGGCGGGGTAAGCCATTATCAGCAGTCAAAACGACCCCCCCCCTCAAAAAAAGAGCAAAAGATAACAACTAATGCTTTAAATAAAATATCTAATGCTACGACTTATGCTACAAATAAACCACAGAGCTATTACAATTTAAAAGCTCGTCCATAAACAACTACCAACAAATTAGCAAGGTCGGCTGTTCACATGTGTGCAAAATGCTTATCAAACAGCTGTTAATCCTCCCCCCCCCCCCCCCCCCAATTCTACAAGTTGAAAAACATGCTCTGGCGAGACAAGGCAATTACACCTGAAATGATCCTTTGTCCATGCAGCTTGAGTGTTACGTGCAGTAGTGGTTTTTGTTTGTGTACTTGTACATGTATGTATGTATATCATACCTCTATGTAAATATGTGCATATCACATGTGTTAGTGTTAATTGGAAACTCAGTGAATCACTTATGTGTCACTGACTTTGGGTAGGCACCAAGGCCAACGAACTCGGTCTGTTTTCCTTTCAGAGGAAATGATTTGAAAACGAGATAAGCTGGTTTCTAGATGACCTCTAGTCTGAATCACTGTAAAAAAAAAAAGTTGGATAAAACACTGTTGGGCAATGTAATTTACCCAGAATGGGTATGAAATTATCACATATTGGGTTGAATTGGGTAAAAACTGTCAAACTATTGGGAAGAATTTGCCCAAGAGTGTAGGCAGTTGATAATTCGACCAGCGTTGGTCGAATTATCAACCCATTTTGCCCAACTTTTGTTTTACAGTGTGGGGCCTAGTTCAAACGGAAAGGGCGTTTCTTTTGGGTCTCTTAAAATGACAACCATATACAGAGCTAGACTTAACCACAGTCTTTCGAGGACTAATCCGATTCCCCTCCCAAAAAAAAGGTGTGAAATTTCGAATTCAATTTGAGTTCTCATATCACAACATTAACAGGCAATTAAGAATCGCGAGGAATAACGTCGCAGAGAAAAAAGGGGTCTAAATACGATGCAGACTTAACGGTAAATACACGCCACACCATTAATGCATCGCATCCCGAGTTTCTTCTTCTGCAACCAAGTATGGTCACTATTCATATTACGCATGCGCGAAAGATATCACGTGATACAAATAGTAAATCACGTGAGTCTGATAAGTCATGTGAATGAAGCAATAGGTCCGAATTACTTACTGGCTATGGCTATAAATTACAACGCGCCTATGGAAGCGGCTGCAGCCTATAGCCACTTCCCATAGACCCGTGTGTTATTTCCAAGCCGTAGCCAATTAGTGATTCGGACGCGGCTTATCATTTGATTTATATATCATATCAGACTCGCGTGATTTATTATTTTAATCACGTAGCGGGCCCTCATTTGTCTATACGAACCGTCGTTGAAAACGGCAAGGTAAATTCTTAAAAACGACTTACGTGATTTATTATTTTAATCACGTAGCGAGCCCTGATTTGTCGATACGATCCGTCGTTAAAAACGGCATGGTAAATTCTTAAAAATGATAATTGCAACAGTACTGAAGGTTTTAATCTATGAAACCTTCCCATAAGTTGAATTATCCACAAGGGGAAAAACGGTCAGAACATGTCCTCAGAGAACATTCAGATTTATTACTTCCTTGCACTATTTATTTATTCAAATAATTCAACATGGCAACAAGCATACATAGTAGTATACTTTTCTGTCGAATTCATGTCAAAGTTGTCTTTAAAATCATAGGTAAACATCACATCCTTGTACATGCAACAAAACAGCGTTGTAAATTGACGGATGGTGTACAAAGCACGCAGCTTATTTAAAGTAGTCCGGGCATGCATGATATTGCGATGAAATATTGATGAAGGTACGTGATTGAGTTTCAGCGAGAAGTAATGGCAGCACGCATGGTCGATCGCCCTTGAACGTTGGGAATATCACTTGGTGCTGACTCTCGTCTGGTGCCAACGGGTCTCAGTCCGCGGGGGTCTAAACCTGCGGGTTGTGCAAATTACACGCACGCTAGGGACGAAAAGGGCATTAAGGTGGTTTGGATACCAGACCTAAAATGATGTGACATGCTGTCTAAACCGTGAAGCTTTGTCATCTGAACTCAAGCATGCAAATTGGAACGACTCGATCGATGATATCATAAAATGAATCCGACGGGTCGGAAGAGGGATCGCAGATATTTGACGGTTGTCTGCGGTTCCGTTGACGGCAGAAAAAATGTCAGGTTGATGAAAATGGGGGGGGGGGGGGGGGGGGGTCTTCGGTGAGCCTTAATAATAGGGGTAGCAACTCGGCTTCAGTTAGGCCACCTACACGTTTAGTTTAAATTTGAGTTCGGAACTGACTTTGAATTTAAAATTGAATTTGGATTGGAATTCATGAAGGTGTAGCCAAGGAAGTATGTTTGAATTTATATGTTTGAACTACAATTTCTAACGATATTTCAAAACTGATTTCCAATCCACAGGGGTGGTTGAAGTAATAGCTCATTCTACACTTCTACACCAACAGAGGGCGCGCTGTAAACCGCAAGTATTGGAAAATATTGTGGTGAAAGCCGAATGTAATTTTGACGAGAGTGCAAAAAAACTTGC